TTTAATCTATTAACTTATTACACATTTGTGCTCTGCTTTAGCATCACCTGACTATTTAAAAAAATTGTTTGTTCAGGCCATGACCTTATAGTCAGCCAATTGGCCATTGCTATAATGTATATATTGTTTGAATATTCTTTCTCATCCCTGCCCCTATAATGGAGTAGATCATGTGTTTTGTTAAAATGTTTTTGAAAAAATTATTGGTAGCAATGAATTGTGCTCTGCCAATTGCAACACTTAAAATTTGATTGTGCTCTGCCAATTGCATCACTTGATTTAATTGAATGTATATATATACTGTTTGACACATTTTCAAAAAAAAAATATTCTTTCTCATAAGTTCATCACTCACTCACCAAATTGCCGACCCAATATCTATTGAAGTGGCGAAGATTTTTTAGACGAATAACATATCGATATTATTGCTGCAGCAGATACAAATACTAACATTATCATATACCCAACCGTTTCAACCATTAAATTAACTAGGAAATTCAATCCTCAACTTAACTTTTACTGTTTTATACTAATATTGGCAATCCCTCACCTTTACAGTAGGCAAAGTTGATCATGCAAATGAAACTTTAGACTAGACATTCAAAACTACAGATGATTTCTTGTCAGGGATAGATAGATCCCGAACTTAATAAACAATGAACTTTAAAAGACCGCACCCTAACAACTTTCACACTAGCACAGAAAACATAGATCATGTTTCAAAATCAAGACCGACAGCCGAGCTGCTACGTTAGAAATACACAGTATCGATCAATTAAATAAGTGTTTTGAAAAGTATCTTATCAGGGATGAGGTTAGGTAGGTTTACTGTCATACAATCTACAATGCTCTGAATGATGGGATGTAGACTGCTAACCATATTATTAGGGTACTTAAGCATAATCCACAGATTAGAGATCTACTCGATATCAAGTTAAAAGAGGTTAGGAGTTGTTGCATTCGAAAATGTATCTCTAACTCTAATCATTACATCGAAAACATTGATTGAACAAGTGACAAAAAGTGTCAAGAATCACAGTAAGTGTCAGTATTGTGATTGGAATCGTCATCAGAAGATTGTGATATCGATGTGTGATGCTAACTTATTGTTCATTTATTCAGATATGTTTAGAGAAAAATTGAATGAGAGTGAGAAACGATCCATGGAGGAGCAGTCACCTTAAATATTCATCATATGCAATGGTAAATCATATACAATGGTAAATGTGCAAAGAACTTTAATTTAGCGCTCGATTTCCATCGTATTAACACAGTATTACAAAAGTATGCGCGGCGTGCCTCAAATTTTAAAATCGTTTTGATAAATGTACTATTGATTGTTTTGTAACTGGGCGGCACTCAACTTGTCATCTTCAATGTTTGTAACGGGTTAAACTCGTATAATATTTGTTGGCGCAGGTTATATATCCAGCGAAGGCACACTCCCTTGTTATGTAGCGCGATGCATTGATTCACGATGTCAATCCTTCCACCTTCGCATCTCGCCGAAAAGTGTAGTCACAGAATGCATCACAGAATTTTAATCGAGTAAAGTGTAGTCAAATATGAAGTATAGAGTAACTGAATAAAGTGTTAACTGAATAAAGTGTTAAATAATATAAGGCTGGACGTTGTAGCGCGATGCACTACTGGGTCGCGCGCGCGCATCCAATAATGCTTCTCGCAGATCGGCGAGATGCGAAGGATTGAATCAAGGCTAGACGTTAACTGAGCTTGAAGCAAACTACTGATGATAGAACCAGCACTCCTGACAGCCAAACCAATTTTGCAATTTATCCAATGCGAAAATGCGCATTAACAGTTAAATGAAAAAAGTGTGGGCGAGCAATTTAGTGAGCGCGCTCGCCGATCTGCATACGAGAAGCATTATTGGATGCTATAACTAAAAGCACAATTGTAGGTATATAACCTATTATACCAAAACGCGCACCGAGTTGAACTCGTCGACGGTCTTGAATAATGAATATTTGAAACAAATATTTTACAAGTATAACCCGTTAAAAAGCACAATAGTGTGACATGTGAGATCAGAAGCCTTTGTCATTTGTCGAAGTGCCTCAAAAGTGATCCTAAACAATTCCCCCGCGTTCAATTTTGATCGCAGAATTACGCCAACTTAATGCATAATTAAAAAAGTTATAGATGATAGACATGGCATATTTTGGCTTTTACTAAATTGCTCGCCCAAAAAGTTCACGTGACTTTGGTTTTTTGGTTTTGCAGCCGTATTGACCATTGTTAATGATCTGGCCCGGCGCGCGCTACTTCGTAGCACTTGCCATCGGGCCACATTTCGAGAAGAAAGCGGCGCGCGCTACTTCGAAGAAATTATTTAGACGAGTAACATCCGTCAACAGCCGTACAAAACAGTTTTACATAGACCCTAATCCCAACCCTAACCTTAACCATAACACACCACAATACACCGATCTAGATCACCTTTCATGCCTAATATAAAGGGCCTTTTCACAAGAATTTTCTTAAAATTTGGGCGAGCGATTTAGTCGCTCCTACTTGCTCTATCCAGAGCCCTTGCGCTTGCAGTAGCGCGCGCCCGCCTCACGGCGGACTTGTGAAACAAGCGCGCCCGCAGTGGCGCAAAAGCACATGGTTAGGTGAAGCTCCTACTAAATCGCTTGTGAAAAGGCCCTTTAGGCATGAAAGTGATCTAGATCGCGATCGGTGTATTTTTGGACGCTGATTCCGAATCACCCCCCATGACGTAGGGTTAAAATGCTTCCCTGGAGAGTTATGGGCAAAAAACCGTTTTGGTCACGTGACAGGCTGGTAAAACGTGAATTCCATTATTTAGGGCTCGGCTTAGGGTTAGGGTTGTGGTTAAAATTTATATGGATAGCTTCGGGGTTATGGTTTCACCTAACCATGTGCTTTCGCGCCACTGCGGGCGCACTTGTTTCACAAGTCAAGGCGGGCGCGCTACTGCAAGCGCAAGGGCTCTGGATAAAGCAAGTTATGGTTAGTATAGGGTTAGGGTTGGGATTAGGATTTATGTAAAACCGTTTTGGGCGAGCGATTCAGTAAGAGCCCGATTTAGTAGGAGCGACATATTTTATACGTATCAAATTGGATGTGCGTTTGGCGGAGATTTGACATACGTTGCAGTACTTGCATGCCACTTTTCGCGCGCGAAGCGCGCGCCGCCGAAGCGGAGATATAACCTGCGCCATATTTGTTTGAAAAACCGTGGTTTTGCATTTACTTCAAGACTGTTGACGGGTTCAACTCAGCGCGCGTCTTAAAAGGTTATTATCCATTATCTAAAACCTAATTGGAGGACTTCGACGCGCCGCACAAACTATAGCAATCCAAAAAATCGATTTTTGGAAGTAAAGATCAATTTTTAACGACCATGCATGTGGCATATTTACAAATCGGTCCTTTCTTGTTCACTGTTGGTGAAATTTTTAACTTTCTTGTGATATAAGGTAGGCCAAAAGCAACGTTTCATACGTTGGGTTTCATACCACCACCGCGTTTCATATTTGAGACCTGAAACTTTGCAGATGGTATGTTGTAACTACTCATTCGAGGATTCCGTCACCAAAATTCGAAAACTCGAATATTATATTTCAGACCACGCCCATATAATATTAAACCACTGCACCGGCTAGATCTTCTCGGCTGGACTTGGAGAACGTTCCTGCTTATATATCGCCTCTCTTCCAATGTGTTTAATTTTACTCCAATTTTGATCCTACACATTTTCTTAACAAATAACTCGAATACCGAGCAACCAAACAGAACAAAGTGGAAATGAAAAAGTTGATGCTGTGGAGGTACCAAATTTTAAAATGAGATTAAAGATGTCTTTGTTTTCCAGCATTAATAACTACCATGGGTGGGGAAATATTCTACTCGTAGTCGTACCTTCTTTGATACATATAGATACGACTTTTCAACGTAAAAGAAGTTGGACTTGGAGGAAACGGTACCAACTGCGAAACAGTGATCACCCAAGGAACTCAATTCTTTCTCCTAGCATTTGTCGCGGGAGCAGGAGGACTAGGAAGAATTGCATCTCCGATCATCAGGAAGAAGATAAGATTTAGAATTTTGTACACCTCACTTGCGGTGATTATTCTAGTCGGCTACATGATATTGATATTGCTGCTCATGTAATGGAATTGAAAACCTAATTGTTATTGTGGTCGTAAAATTAGTAGGGGAATTGGTATACGGGATAATCTCAATGGAAAAAAAATTACATCTGGCATAATGCAAGGTGCAGGTTTGATGGTTGATTCACGATGTCAATCCTTCGCATCTCGCCGATCTGCATACGTGGTTGCAAGAAGCATTATTTGATGCGCGCGCGACCCAGTAGTGCATCGCGCTACAAGTTTGATGGCAGGTGTAGCAGACACTGTTTTGGTTTCTTTTGCTTCACCGCAAAGAGCTATCATCACTGGCTTGGTACTGAGTGTTTTTCAAATCTTTGTAGCAAATTCTATGAGAGAGCAAGATCATCGGCAATAACCAAACTGGAAATATCGACGTCACGTGATGCCCATATATGGAGATATAGTAATAGATTATATGTAATAACATTGGACGCCCAATTTGAAACTTAAGGCAACCTTTCTATTTGCGATGGAAAAACAGTAAACTAAATTCCAAGATGTTAACAAAGTGAATCATTTAACATTTAAAATTAACTTTAAGGTAGTAAGCACGTGATCGAGACAGTTTTTCGCCGATATCTCGCCAGGGGAGTATTTTAACCCTATCCCATGTGGGGTGCTTCAGAATCAGCGTTCAAAGATACATCGACTCAAGTTGATTTCAACTTTCAGAAAAATCTAAAAATTCGAGTTTAAAGTGATTTACCACGCTCGCAGCAAAATTGTGCGAAGTAATTTTATTAACTAAATAGTATTTAATTTTTTGAATTTGTAACTTTGATACGTATTTTGTAAAACATTCTACATTATCATCATAAATTGTATAATATTAATATAAATTGCAAGCATCGTAAATCCAAGACCGATATCTTTCCTTCGATTTAATCATTAAATTCACAGTTCATCTTTTGCAAAGAAGAGCCCGATGAAATTGATTAAAGTTAAACAAATAATCAATAACATGAACTGATATGCTGTTGCTTCCGGTTCCGGTTCCAGTCGAAACGATATCGTCAAAATGGGGTCGTCAAAATAGTGGATGAGGTCGTCCAAATTTGACAATATCTTCTGTAAGTGCTCTAAGTCTTCGGTAACACATCCATAACAAGAGAAACAGCGCTGAATCATGATAAATGATGATTATGTTTCCAACTGTCTGCATCACGAGAGAAGCTATTTATTCTGCACTCAGTGCACTGTTCAACATTGTTACAAGTATCGACCTCAGAAGAAGCTCCAACGTATCATTTCTCTTAAAGTTGAGCTACACTAATTCTCCTTGCATCTGTTCATCATCATCCTGATAAAGTCTGATCTGGTCAGTCGGCCCTCTCCCCGTCTGTCTCCTCGTTTCATGAGATCGTCCAGACCCTCCTCTGATACAGGGTGGGCCAGGCTAAGCATCACCTGCCTCAAAACGTCCTGAAAATAACGGCAAATCAGACTCAACATTACTTGCCTCAAAACGTCCTGAAAATAACGGCAAATCAGACTCAACATCACTTGCCTCAAAACGTCCTGAAAATAACGGTAAATCAGACTCAGCATCACTTCCCTCAAAACGTCCTGAAAATAACGGCAAATCAGACTCAGCATCACTTGCCTCAAAACGTCCTGAAAATAACGGCAAATCAGACTCAGCATCACTTGCCTCAAAACGTCCTGAAAATAACGGTAAATCAGACACCATCACTTGCCTCAAAACGTCCTGAAAATAACGGCAAATCAGACTCAGCATCACTTGCCTCAAAACGTCCTGAAAATAACGGTAAATCAGACTCAGCATCACTTGCCTCAAAACGTCCTGAAAATAACGGTAAATCAGACTCAGCATCACTTCCCTCAAAACGTCCTGAAAATAACGGTAAATCAGACTCAGCATCACTTGCCTCAAAACGTCCTGAAAATAACGGGAAATCAGACTCAGCATCACTTGCCTCAAAACGTCCTGAAAATAACGGCAAATCAAAACTAGTTACTGTTTTGTGTTTTGTAGTATTAATATTATACGGTCAATGTTATTAATATTATAAGATAAGATATTGTAAGATATAGAAAGACATAGAATGTGGTTATGCAATCATAAGCTATAAGTATAGAAAGAAAAAAAAGCTACACTCAAGGCTTTCACAAAGTTTCAGTTGAATCGTCCTAGATAAAATATAAAGACACCTTATATTAAGTTATTGAATGGTGACGAGTTATAAATAAAAGCGCATACCCTAGTGATAAAGCCACTATGGCCTTTGTCAAAGATGCGGAAGATATCTTCAAGTTGAGACTCTGGGGTAATAAGTGGATTCTGCTGAAGACTCATCATTCTGATAAACTCGCATATGTCAATGATACCGTCATTATTAATATCAACTTTGGATACCATTACCTGTGGAAGGATGATGTTGAAATTATGGTAAAATTATGGTAAAATTATGGTGAAATAATAGATTATGGTGAAATAATAAAGCGACTTCCATTCAAATTGCTATACTTGTACTTTTGTTGTTTTACGAATAAAAGTTCAGATCTAAAGTGCTACCTCTACTTCTTCGGGGCTTGGTTTCAGACCAATGCTGTCTAATACGTCTGGAAGTTCGTCAACTGTGATGATACCTATATAAATAGATAAAATAAGCTTAGGTTAAATGAATTAAGCCTAAAACTGAACGTAGCAATTTGCAATAGGTTGCAACCTGGATGTGATCATCAAAAATTGTATTGTTTTATAAGCATTATTCTGTGCTTTTCGGTGAAAGTGCATTATATCGAATATCGATACTATCAACTTATTTGTTACTGGGCGGCGTTCATCCTGTCATTCCGCCGAATCTCTATTCGGTTGTTTATGAACATGATAACCTGGGGTCCCCAGATAACTTATTTGTGGTATTTGTGGTATTTGTGGTATTTGTGGTATTTGTGGTATTTGTGGTATTTGTGGTATTTGTGGTATTTGTGGTATAGTATGAATATCTATCAGTATCTGTTTAACATCCCGCCAGCTTACCATCTCCATTTTGATCGAAGTCTTTGAATGCTTGTTCGTACTCCTGGATCTCGTGCCAATCCAGACTGACGGGTATTGGCAACGGTCTCTCTCCATTGTTATCTGAAATTAATCACAATCAATAAATCAAGTAAGGTTAAAGATATTGGGTTCCGTCTAGACGACCAGAGGCAAATACGCGGATCAGAATTAACTAGATCTCTGTGAGCCATTGTGGACATGGTTAGCATGGTCACAGATCACGATTATTATACTAATTTGATACTGGGATTAGTGTCATCTTCCATAATCATGAAACCAACGACAAACCACAGGATCTGGTAGTGGTAAACATTTCAGATAGAAATACCGTTTCTATGACCAAGATTAAAAGCTCTGCTTGATAAAAGTAATTGTATCAAGTAAAACCGGATTAAACTGCATTAAATTCAAACGGAGCAAACTTACAAATTTTAAGCCTCACAAGAGATTTATAAAGTCCGCGAGTTTCGCACAAATGATACCGACATTCAGAATAATTTCTGGGTGATCGACTGCATGATAAGCCCATTTATATTTATCAGAAATAAAAGAAGCAAACGGAATGGTATAATTTTGTGAATACGCAAGGTTCACACATTGGATCCATTTATTAGGCTAAGATCAGGAGACCCGTGTACCAGGGGTGTAGGAATGATTTTCTTCATGGGGGAGGGGGGGGGGGGGGGCAATTCTAAATTTTTTGGAGCTTCGCGCCACAGCCTGGATTTGTTGGCGGACATGCAACAGATCACGATTATTATACTAATTTGAGACTGGGATTAGTGTCATCTTCCATAATCATGAAACCAACTTCAAAACACAGGATCTGGTAGTGGTAAACATTTCAAATAAAAAATACCGTTTCTTTGACCAAGATTAAAAGCTCTGCTTGATAAAAGTAATTGTATCAAGTAAAACCGGATTAAACTGCATTAAATTCAAACGGAGCAAACTTACAAATTTTTAGCCTCACAAGAGATTTATAAAGTCCGCGAGTTTTTCACAGCCTGGATTTGTTGGCGGACATGCAACAGATCACGATTATTATACTAATATGAGACTGGGATTAGTCCTGTCATCTTAAACCATATAACTAATAACGTAAATCATGAAACCAACGACAAACCACAAGATTTGCAGTAGTGGTAAACATTTCAGATAAAAATACCGTTTCTATGGGCAAATTCTAAATTTGTTTGGCGCTTCACGCCAAAGCCTGCATTTCAAAAAAATGTTCAGTTCTCCGCGACAAATAGCGCATTTTCTTTTAAATCTGAAGACCAAATTCGCGTATTTTCTTCAAATCTACGGTCCAAATATCACGTTTTCTATAAGTAAAGTATATGAAACCAACCATGTCCACAACCTTCCGAATGTAGGTGCGGACTTCGAAAACAAAAATATTTTCGGCTCATAATGATCAGGATAGCATGAAACATGAAAAAAAGTAATTTCCAGGAAAACTTTGAAAAATTTTGACTGAGAAAATTTTCGGTCCGAGTCATTCTCGATACTGGATACGTACCTCTGAAGGCAGAGCTCCCGCTTCCGAGCTCGTATTGCGAAGGGGAGGCCTGCCTTCCGAGATTGCCCCCTGCCCCCCCCCCCCCGCTTCCAACACCCCTGCCGTGTACCGATTAGAGCTTTAAGCTATATAAAGTAATGAATATCCAATAATAATATCAATTATGTATAGCTGGGAATCCTGATAGCGTCCATGTAATAATCTGTACATATAATACCATGTGTATTTCTATAGTATTTTATTATACACCTATGTCCAATTTCCGTTAAATTTTGAGTATCCATTTGACACCTTTGAGTTTGGGGCTTATGTACGGTTTCATTAAAACAGAAAACTGTTGATATTAAAACTTTATTTTTACACAGATTAATTAAAACTTAGCAAAAATGTAAATAAATACGTATATTTCTTTAGAAAATGCGCTCGTATTGGAAGAAAATCTGACAGGGTCAAACTTCTACTTTAATCTTTTAATCGGTTTTTAAAAAACTTTTACGTTTTTCTTTAATTCATTTTTAAGAAATGAACTACGGTCTGTTAAGCATTTTTAAGTGACTTTTGACAAATTTAACGCAGAAAAGATTCCAATAAACAAAAACTCAAAAAATAAAACTAAACAACAATTACGTACACTTTCCTTCTCTTCGTTCAATTCGTAAATTCAAAAGAGACTTTTTGAGAATGATCTCTGGAATTTTCTGAGGTTTCGTCTTTCTTTTTTTTTTCAAAAGGAGCATGATGCAAAATCCCCAGTGATAAATACGCCACTATTACATGAAATCCGGCAGAAGCTAACTGTATCAAACTGAAGTAGGGGATATCATAAACAATTACAAAATGTTTCGTTATTTAAGGTAGACTCCAAATTGGTTCCACTAATTTCAGAGATCGAACCTAATACAATAATGCTAACTGGTTTAAATGGATGCGGACGCGGAAGTACCATAAATGATACCGTATCAAGTCTACCAAACTTGTACTTAATTACATATAATTGTAAATTGAAGATATTAAAAAAATAATTATCTCTCCCGTCTAACCCTAACTCACGTGATTCCTCACAATATCTCTCCCTTCACTTGGTCTAACCAAAACAGCCCAGTTATTAATCCTCCCAATATACCCAAATTGTTCCTCTCCATTTGACCATCATTTCTTGGAATACAACTTAATCCAGTTCATAACTTAATGCCCTCACTCAATAACTTAATCGTTCGCATTGTCGTTATGCTATCACTGAGGGAGAGGGAGGGGTTTCCCAATTATTACACTAGTGTCATCTTAACACATGTGTGCAAAGATGGGGGGGGGGGGGGGGGGGGTTGGATGGGGGTTCCATACTAGTTTGATCCTCTTTTAATCCATAACCCATAATAAGGGGGGGGGGGGGGGGTTTAATGACCCATACTAAAAGATAGGCGGGGGGCATACTAAAAGATAAGCTTGACAACACAGGGACTCAAGAAACCAACACTCGCTTACGTAGGCGTACAAATCAATACCCTTAGCGGCGAATTAACGTTAAGCTGTTATGTATATCTATTATATAGTTATGTAATGATTTGAATAGGCATCAAGACCCCACAGATATGGGCAATTTGTTGTAATTACGCAAAATAGCAGCTGTAGTCTTTAACGAAGACGACGGTGTCACTCTTAAAACATCAAAGGTAGAGTGGCTTATCAAAGCACAGTTAGTATCATGCAATAAACTATAAATATAAATAGATCATTTATAGTCAGCTGTATTCTATAACTAAACTACTACAAATTCATTGAATAATTTTCTACAAAGGTAGGGTAAAATTCTGGGTTTACGATTGAGAACCTCCGGTTCGTTGTACAGGGTACTAACAGTTACGACTTTGGAAGAGAGTCCGGCGCCGCTTAGCAGTTTCGAATTAGAGTCGTCATTATTGGTCAAAACTATCAAACAACCATATGTTAATGACGCTTTACCGCTTCTAATTGATACTCAATTAGTCACTTCCAGCGACAAAAAAAAAGTATCAACCTAACACAAGATGTTTGTGACACGGGCAGATTTACCATCAAGTTCTTAGGAAATTGTTTTCTATTAGGATGTAGGGTGTCTGTTGGAGAGGCTATGTACGGGCTAACGACGAGCTATCAAAATTAACATGATTTAACAAAATTAACAAAATTAACAAAATTAACAAAATTAAACAAAATTTAACAAAATTTAACAAAATTAACAATTAATTTATAGGATCATAGTCAGTCAGTCTGTCTGCAGCTGATTATGTCTCAAGACTGAAAATAAGGCTTACTCTGACCTTTTAGTGAAGATAAGGCTTACTCTTACCTTTTGTCTTTTTGGCTTCTACATACTCCTGGAAGTTTGGCTGATCCCGAAGTTTCGAAAATGCGCCTTTGAGGTTATCCAGAACTGAAAAAAGAGATTAGATATCAATTTCACTCCAATATTCAGTAAACAGTTCTTAGACGCTACTAAAAAGTAGCAAATTTATAAATGAGAACACAAGTCAGGCTAAGAAATGGGTGCTATATTGGCTATATTGGCTGCAGAATACCGGCGTATACTAGCCAGTAGCCACCTTATCAGCTGGTGTTCACACAATTTATGATATATACGATAATACAGACGATTGAGATTATTCACGGTTAAAACTCTGGGTTTTGTTCTCAGACAGGTATTTATTCTCTCTATTTTTCTAGTCTCAGCACATAAGCACCCGATTGAAATCTCAAGTTGCGAAAAAATAGGTACAATGGTCCGTCTACAACGATTAATAACAGTTTGAATATTGAAATAGTTATGCGTTGCTTCAAGGAAAGTTCACTTTACACAAAGAGGTGAAAATAAATTATAAACCACCTACCGGGACAAAATAACACTTTTTGTGATCTCAGAGCAATAATTATACTTATAGTGCACAGTTCAACCTTATAAGTCAGCAGCAAACATTAAACAGAGAACAACAGAGAGCTGCATGAAACAGGGGGAAATCATTGAAATGACGCTGTTGATAAAAACCGGATATGCACCTGTCATGATGTGCATTTACAACTAATACATATCACTATCATGGTTATTGGTTATCACGAAGTGAGCTGCCCGACTAACAAAGAATGGACAATGCTAATAGTCCGCTAATCGTCCGCTGATAGTCCTCTAATAATAGGCTGATGTAGAGCCCATAATTATCGTTGCTCGATTGTCGATAAGCTGGTCTGACCTAATAGTTTAAATTAGAGTAAACAGATGAATTGTCAAACCCTGGAGGCCAAATCAAATAATTGTTGAGTGTATGTCAGGTGGGCGTGGTATCTGCAGTATGTTTGATGTAATTGGTAGTGTAGTTTTGATTTTTATGGACAAAAGATGACTGGAAGAAAGCGTTCACTTTCAGGCAGCGGTTTCAGCAATTTAAGAGGTTCAGGTAAGCAAAGATGGGGTGCTCATTGTCCCGATGAGAAGTTTCGAGTTAATTAACACAAAGCAGCGAAGTCAGCGATCAGCAGTTTCATTTCATAGCATTCTTCTTAGGAAATACAGCTTAAAGAAAATAATTTTTAAATCGTTCCGTGTCTCATACGTAGGGTACAATAATTTTAATTATTTTTCTCCAACATAGTAATGGTCCCCGCCAGTATCCAGATATATAAATCTATCAGACCAGAGACTATATCCAGACCTGAATGGGGAGGTTACACGACAAAACAAATATGGTTGCATCTATCAGACACAGAGACACAAGTCTGGCATAATTCTAATATCTACTCACACTGAGCCCTTTTAGATCCCTTAATACGATGAAGCGCTCTAGCCCGTCTTTTAGAACCGGCGCTTAAATCCTTCAAGAACATGTTGCAGCTCTCAACAATGAACGACCACCCACGTGCAAATCAGAAGCATATCGTCGAGAGCGATGTCACATTGACGGAGCCCAGCAGAGCCCAGCAGAACCCAGCATCAGTGATAAGGAGACAATTTAACAAGGCGGATTAAAGCAAGTGCGATCACGATTATATAGGAGACGACGTCGACTTTTGTAATTTCAGGTTTAGATCTGGAAACTTACTATAAGGTTAAAAGACAGAGGAAGCGGCGAAAGTGTCTGTTAGGAGCAGGCCCGTGCCATCATAATAAGTAAGTGAAGTACTTAAATTTCTACATGATCTGCCTAAAAGTAGGATTTCTCTTCGGATTCGATCTCGGTAAGGATAATAGTTAGTCTAACATAAAATTTAAAACATTTTGTCCGAAATCTGTCGAATACAGAAACTAAGCTTCGTTTGTATACAAGCACCAAACAGGAAAGACGAGGAGCGTGCAGGCTCTCCCCACTGCGAGGAGTTTTTGAGTGGGATGTTGGGATGAAACTGGCTTTGACGCTGACGTATAGTGAAATTAAATATTCAGTACTGACCAGGACCTCGATCTTGTTTTTCTTAATTAGTCTTGGGGAAAATTTAGCAGGAGAATGATCATGGCTGACGACGAAATGTCAGGTACTGCAGTCTTCAAAAGCGGCCGACTCGACATCTAGTGCAGTGGTGTTCAAATTAAAAATGATTGAATATTGATCACATACATATTTATTATTTATATATGTATGATATGTATGTGATCAATATTCTGTTATCTGTATACAGACAACATGTTACAACAGAAGATGCAAGGGCAGGTGTCTTCAAACGTACGCTGGTAGTTTATTGAGGAATAATAAATTTTAATTTTAAAGCTGTAAACTGCGTTGGCCTTCGTGTAGTGGGACTGGTAGTAGTGGTAGAGGAAAATTCTTTACTGAGTTCCGTGAAGCTGGTAGAATTAGGATCCGTATTTGAGAGTTAATTGTTGATTTTGGTTATCAAACGATGTTGATATCTCAGCAAAAGATTTCTTACTACCTTACTTCATAGACAATTTTAAAATTTGGCTGGACACCAGGACACAATAAACTGTTTAGAATTTGTTTGGATATTTTGTAAATTTTGATAGTTTTGATAATGTTTCATGACCGATAAAAATCAACTTAATAACACCAGAATGTGTGTGTGTGTGTCTGATCGTTCGTGTGTAATTTCCGAACGGTTATACAAAGAAAATGGTAAGAGTTACGGGACTGGTTTTTTCGGTATAGTGTCGACAAAACTCTGCGCCAATGAGAGTGCTCGACTGCCGGACTGCAGTTAAGCAGGAGCATCAAATTGGCGGGCAAACGCGAACGAAAACCAATAATCATATAGTATAATTATATACAGCTTTATCACGTGTTTAATTACGCGTGATTTATTACGCGTGATTTATTATTGATTATGTGTAAAACTTGTAACAATTTTTGACATATCCAATATGTATAGCTGGTGACGGTTGCATGAAAACCACAATTCACAATACGGATACCATGCGCTAATAGTAATGTGCTAATATGCTAATGTAAGGCCTTCAATTGAATGAAGTTGCTGCAAGGGTTGCAAGGGTTTCAGACCATATATCGGTGCTACACTTACTACTTACTAGTGCTACTTGGGTTTGACACCAGATCTGCGAACATCTCTCTTCGGCTTTTGCGTCGCTCCTTCTGCTTCTCCATCGCTATTTCTGCAGACTTTTTAGCAGCTGTAGGGTACGAGCTAGGTTTAGGTCGACATTAAGAAATGAACCCCTCTACTTCGACCTCTGAGATTCCTTCTACAATTAATACAAAAATGAAAAACGTCTCACTCCAACCATACCAAGGTCTCAGTATATAATTTGCTTACCCGCCGTTATACTGTCTGACACGCTAACGCCGATTAAGGCCGACCAGCAATGACTCGGTAACCTTTATTCCCCCTTAGTTTTTGAATGTGTAAATTTGTCCGACAACTGTATAGTCTATACTTATACAATAAACATTGGACAGTAGACACATATGATGTATAAATATCACAGTTGCATTGGTAGTGCCTGTTCGCGAGATCAATCCGTTTTCATAAACCATATTTTGCACATTTAAGACATCTGCACGGAATTTGTGTCGCCGCAAGTTGTGATAAAGTTTTATCAAAATGAGTTTCCATGTGGCTCAAATTTTTACTACGTTTCGCCAGTATCTCTGCTAGTATAGTTTAGTATAGGGTGCTACTGAATATTACTGAATATTACTGGACTAAATTAACTTCACTTTAACTCAGTTCCAACTAACCAAAGCAAAAATAGTAAACCAGAATGGCTTATAACAAACTAATAAATTAATAATAATAGATAATATTCGCTCCCAACCATGAAACACGGCAAAAAATGGCTGGTTATTTGTTATAACAATTTCTGAGTAGCATAATTCTGAAAGTATGAATATCATTGCTAGAGCCATCGGTGTTGATTTCTGTAAAACATCAAATTCGACGCACCAATTCACCAAAGTTCATAAACCAAAAAATTCGCGTTGCTGTATTAATAGCGGCGTTTATTCATCCCGTCGAGATTAAAATGCATAACTCGTTTCCGAAATTAATATCCATTGTTAATTTAACAATTAAGCCAAGCAAGATCATACTTCTAGCGCATTTTCCGTCTTTTCTTTCATTAATAATTAACGATTAATAAAATTATCAGGTCACAAACCTGGCGGCGAACCTTTCAGGAACCAAACGATCTGACCATCATACAGATCATCAAGTAATGCTTGAAAAGCACCGTGGGAAATTAGAGTAGATTTAGGAACCAATTAATACAGATTACCAAGTACTCAGGTTCTGAGTATGTAAAACGAGCAAATGTAGTACAGAATACTGCAGGAAACCCTCTTCTTAGAAGAATTGTCTTTCCAACAGTCAGACGATCCAGATGATAGTCAATTATAACCTAGGTCGTTCCTTTATAGTACGAAAATACTCTCGAACGGAGGGCCTTATGCGATTCGTTTAAGTTTTAAAACTATAGATAAATAGTTGTTGTATATCATAGGACTGCCTGTCCTCTTCAGGGATGTTATGGCCTTGTCCATTTCTAAGTCAATCAAATGCTATCCGGATCACATCACCAATTATAAGTCACTGATTGGGTGACACGATCTGATCTCTCTGGAGGTCGGATCAGTTTGGTTCAATTTGGATCAGTATAAAAATGTATACCATAAAATTCGCGGCACTCTTTAATATTGACAAAATACGCTTGCGATGAATTTGATGCTTATCAGTATGCGAAAAATATCAAAATTTTCACCATGTGGTGGCGCTTTATTGTAGTTAGTTAAGTTAGTTACTTAGTTAGTCAGCTACTCACCTCTTGCAGTATCTGAAGGCTCAATCAGGGAGCTGAGCCATGGAAACTTGGACATTGACATTCATTAATATTAAATATTCGAACCGAAAATGGTTTCAAGTCGAAGTAAACTAGAAAGTAAACCAGAAAATGTATAATTATAATATCATGAATAGCATATGAAATTGAAATGGAATGGTGCGGTTTATATACAGCCGCGGTTCTACCACCGAGGTCAGAATCTAAAAGCGGCCCTGGTTGTGATGACGCGGCTAACTAATAACTAATAACTAATAACTTTCATTTCCATGTCCATACGTACAGGGGTTTTATTAACTTAATGCACATTTAAATATCGAGAGGAGGATATTTGAACACGCATGGAAATTGCTATAATACGATAAATGAAACAAGCAGATAAGCTTGTAAGCAGCGTATATTATATTGATATTTTATTCTGTTGATATTTTTCAAGTCCAATGAGAGTTGTGGTGATCACGTCTAGGAGTAGATAGCCAACAAATTAGTGGTTTTCAGGGCTCACATCTAGATAACCAACAAATTAGTGGTTTTCAGGCCTAAGCTAACTGTCCTAACTATGGACCAGTCAGCGGAAAAGCTTCATTAGTAGTATTTCACTGATAGCTAATATATGTAGCAACTGTAATCTACAGAAGGCTTCACTGACGGGTCGGGTAAAACAGCTGTGCAGGCGAGTGTCCGGCCGTATTTCATGAGAATAGCAGTAGCCAGTTAGAGTAAGCCACAGCTTGGCGGTGTACGATTAAGTAGCTCCACCCTTCAAAACAGTTGCAATTAATAGTAACTAATAATAAGTACCTACCTTAACAGTAAGTAGTAACCCTAACATACATGTACCGGTACGAACCACTTTTAGATAAATCATATAGAAATTGAACAGTAAAGCAAGATGTGAAGATAATATTAAATTTAAAGTCATACTAGGTTGATTCAAAATTAAATTTCCCCAAATCACTCATATGATCGAGAGGGTGATATCAATACGTATCTGTAAAACAAAATTTGGAAAATAAATTGAAAAAGGATACGATAGTTAATTAATATACTTAGAGCAGCTGATTTAATAGTTTATCATCAAATAAATGCTGACCAGCACTGCAATGACAGCAGCAATTTTATAGATGATTCAGAAAATAATATAGATGACTTACCTGTAATCACAGATGTTTGTCGTTTCATTCTTCGGTTATTAATTAAACATTTCATTCTTCGGTTATTAAGTGAACGTTTCATCACCGATTACTGGATCAGACAATATTGTATAATCAATTAATAGTAATACTGATAATTGATAATACTGATTATTAATAATACTGTATACGCCTATACTATTACTCTATAGGCATCACGGTTTCATCAAACTGAATCAATTATCGAAAGCGATCACAGAATTAAAGGATTTCATGAACTCAGTAAGGGTCTGCCCACACTACGCCATGTGGCGACGGGCCACATGGCGTAGTATGGGCAGACGGCAGACCCTAATAGATAAGTAAAAGTAACGCTTAGCTGCGAAGGGAGCTCAGAACAAAAGTCAATGCTGTGGAGGATCACCCTTACAAGAGTTCGTGTCGTGGTGGTGTTACAATCGTTCTGAATATAAACTCTAAATTAAAGGTTTATCAGCATACTCCAGAGTCCCCACTTTGCCCATGTTTTAGGCACGTGATATTTTATGCATATAATAGGATATGCTGGTTGGATAAATGGTTAAGCAGGGATATTATTAGTAGTTAGCACAGTACTCAATATTAATGCAGTAATAGAGCTGAGTTTAAGCTTAAACTGCAAATATGTTCAATTGATGCAGTTCCCACCTTTGCTGGCTAGTTCTAAAATGCGCTAATATATAATTGCGCTAATTTATAATTGTATCGAAAATATTAAGCTATACTAGGAATCGAATAAAGAAGCTGATATCGTGAATCGACTAAATTATAAAAATCTAATTAACATAATCAACCGTTTATATCACCACATCAGTAAACAATACCGATATGATATAAAAGATCCGATTATACAAAACGGTTAAAATGTAGCCTCTTTTGTAATATAAATACCCCTCAGGCAATTCCGTATAGTATACACGTTATAACATTACTTTTTCTACAATTCCACGAAATTAACAAATTAAAATTTTATCCATCCATTTATCTTTCTTCCTATAAAAGTATCTCTTCCAGCCAATCATGGTGATATCCAATTTGTCCCGTATGCTCTTAATAGTGAGGAGGTATGCGTAGGGAGAGCAGCTAAGTGAAATGAGCAGTGAGAGGAGAGCTATGTCAAGAAACCAGTCCCAGGAATGTTTGTTTCCCTTAATCTGCCCGATCTTGATAACATTGCAAAGCAGAGGCAGGACAGTGAGGGATGTCAACACCACCACCAGGATAATAGCGAATGGCACGTTGTGCAGGTCCTCCACCAGTTTCTGGTATGTGGTCCGTTTCCTGCACTCGAAGCTGGTGTACCGTCTCATGGTACGGCCCGAAGGGTGCCTGTCCACAATGCTGTACCCGCGAGGTCTCTGCACTTGTTCCACGAACTCTATTGCTCCGTTAAACATGGTCTTCTCCCTCCGGCTCATCTGCGGTGACTTGATTCTGACGGGGGCCGGTACTCTCCTGGATCGTATGACATTGTTACTTGTGTTCTCTGACGACAGCACGAAGGTTAGCACGGTGGTTATGGAGAGCACGTTCTGCAGACCGTTTAAGAAGGATGTTACCCTAGCGTATCTCTTCTTCAGACTCTGATTCTTTCTTACTGACTTGTAAATAAACCCATATAAAGTTATTGTGACTAGTCTTGGGAAAAAGATCCCAAAAAAGCAATATATCCCATAAAAAGCGGAGCAGCCATACTCTGAAACGTCCAAATACTCGCACCTCTCCTCCTCCCTATTGTAAGCAAATCCACACAGACCAAATATAGGAGGGATGGACAAGCAACAAGCCCAAGTCATAGCCACCAGACATACAGCCAGTTGGTTTCTAACGTGAAGTATTCTCTTATACCTGAGAGGTAGTTTGAGAGCAGTGAGCCTAGCGGTGGTGATGCAGCTCATTGAGTAGGATAACATGCTCACTGCGGTGGAGCGCATTGTCATGTTGAAGGAACAGTCCAGTTCTTTTGTTGAGGAACCGAAGAAGGACAGTAAGAACTGTGATAGAACGAATATCTGAAATAGAGATGGTCAAGTATTCTCCTATTTAACAGTATCTTTATATTTATGAGCCAATGGCACATAACAACAATTGAAGTTCGTACGGTCAAAATGAGCCAGATGTTTTAGCATTATAAATATGAATGGTAACAGTAGAAGCATTAGAAAATAACAAACCTGACAGAAGCAAAAGAAGATCAAGAAGAAGTAAGGATGAATGGAGCGACGGTAGAACTTGAGTATAACATAAAGTAGGAGGGAAGTAGCGAAACCGCCCATGAAGAGAAAAGGAGTGAAGAGTATGGGAGTGAGGTAGATGAGGTGCCCTCCTCCTTCTTCTTCAGTGAGAGGAGAAGGGCTGGTGGAGTTGGTTGTAGTCCCATCCTCACCAATAGAATTTACCATCCTGTAGGGGGAGGGGTATTTTATAGTTTATCTCACTAAAAACACTAATTTGAAATACTGAAAAATAACTATTGTATTCAGGGCTAGCCACAGAAATTTGAAAATAATGCTGATTATTAAGTAAGTAAATTGCATATATTATCATTCTATTAAAGTATTTGAATAAAAGATAAAAACCCTAGCTTCACTTTCAGTTTCAGTAGTAAATTATTCGATCATTAAACTATAAAGTTGTATAACCTACTCAATAGCTACGATCATCCAGAGGAGAAAAAGAGCTAATAATTAGATTTAGACAAAATCTTTAAAAATCACGATAAGACGATTGTAATTTTTGAAATAGTTTTGAAAAATCAAAAATGTTACTATTAATTAGAATAACTCTGAGTTTGACCTTCGCCAGGCTATGATACAAACAATATGTCGATATATCCTGATCGTACCAGAGACTTAATAGTACTAGAATGTATTAGTAATACATGTCCTAGCTGTCTTGAAGGCGCAGAGTGGTACAGACGGCAAGCACTAGAACACTCACCCAATTAATAAGTCTTCGTCATTATTCATTAATGAATAAATGATTTTGGATTGTTATGGATGTCAGTGGGGGTAAATGTAACCAAGTAATATTGTAAAAAACAAGTAAATATATATTATATATAAGTACCTTAAGAACGACAAATTTAGTTTACCATAAGTTTAGTCAACATTTTTACCAAAATTGTTGTAAACCAAATTTATTGCCCCCGTGAGTAAAATCCTGTTTTGGTCACGTGGTAGGCTAGTGAAACACGAATTCGATTGTTTAGGGTTAGGGTTAGGGTTTATTTAAAACTGTGTTGATCAGCTGCAAAACCATAAAAACCCAAGTCACGAAAAAAGTATGAGCCAACAATGAGATCGAATACTAAAAGTAAATGAATTGTATGGTGGAAAAGGAAGAAAAGGAAAAAATGATCAAATATTATGGATATTTGTAGTAGCTCAATGGATAGTAATTGTAATATTGGATGCGATTTTTTGTATAAATAATTCCTTGATAAACTTTAAAAGAAAGCCGATAGCTGACAAAAATTCAGATTCGGAGGTAAGTTGCTGACCAAAGTCAGAATGTTAGCATATTTTAGAGTTACTGGTTAACAAATTGCAGGAATTTACGGATAGCTGACAGGAACACTTTGCCAAAATATAGCTAAACGATTTCTGCCTTCAAACCTAGAAGAAACAAGGTAAGCTTGAGAGCTGTATAGGAAAAATAATTGTAAGCTTGAGAGCTGTATAAGAAAAATAATTGTGAGGAGTTTTGTGTCTTAGTCTATGATGTGTTTGCGATATAGGTCGGTAACTGTAAGAATGTATCTTTGATCAATGTTTCTTTCCTGTAAATCCAATGCCCTGGTACAGACGACCAGTGCGAATCAGTAATTTTCAGTGGAATGAAGTTGGTATGTGGCACTGAGGATAAATTAATTAACAAGTTAAATAATATTCCATCGCGGACATTTCCACCAATTAGTGGCAGCTGACTGTCGTTATGGCGAACAGTTGGGGTAGATGGTAGAACTGAGGTGGATTTGCCTGAGTTGTTCATTTCACAGGAGAAGTGACTTCATTACTTCTAGAATTAAGAATTAACTGATAACGGAGTAATGATTCATTATCAGATGGAAAATAAGGGCTTGTACTTGAAGATAAAAAGTAATGGTTGAATGCAGCCAAATTCAATGAACATAGCATCGTGTGAATAGTTGTATAACCGAAGGATTATTTACATCCTCGGAAAATTCTTGGAAATTAAGTTCACTTGCTTTAAGGGATAATGACCTTTACAAGACTAGTGCAGTCAGCCTCGATTGCCACAACATGCATTGTACGTGACGGGAAATTTGTGCCACCATTGTACACATAGCACGAATATATCGAGTTGAACGGAACAATTGCCACAGCGTGTTGAATGGTACGCAACCAATTGGTCTGTATAGTGGGTAAATAAGCATTGGAGTTCAAACACGTGGTACATCGTACCAGCAGTGTGGTTTGATGCAATCTGTAGGTGGTTTAAGGCAATCTATAGGTGGTTTGATGCAATCTGTAGATGGTTTGATGGAATCTGTGGGTATGACAATATGTTGATCACAATAGAGTATCCCACATTTTTTGCTGTTCTGAGAAACTATCAGAGCAGCAGATCTCAGAGTAACCAATATAGTGAAACGCACAACGAACATCACGAATCAGACATCCTAACCGCTGATGTGACACAAAATTTGCTATAACGTGCGGAAATTCCACCTCAAAGCGTTCATAAAATATTAAACATGTACCAGTTACTCCACTTGAATCAGCCTCTAGCTGAGCCGCTGGAACTATCAGCTCCTTATACGGGCATCACGTGGGAGAAAGTTCACCGCAAGTTCCGGCGACAAGTTGTCTCATCGAGCCCAGCTGTTGGCTGGGTCACTAATTCTCACACTCACAGCGAGAGTGACATGTTGTTAAGGGTGGGGTTGTGAGGAGTTCAACTTATATTTCAACAACTTCTCGGATTAGAAAGGGGTCCAATAAAATGATTGATGGATCAGGTAGATATTTTACCGATACCAAATTCCTACTGCCAAACTATGAGCAACGGAAGTAATAAAAATATATGGTGGCAACAGATGGCAACGTAACCAACTGATTTTTTCATTTTCAATTATTCAACGTATTCCTCTGTTTTTGGGGCTGAATGAAGTTAGACCATTTTACTTCACGAAATGATTAAAGATGGAGCCAAAAATAATCAAAATTAGTCCAGTTTGATTATCATATTCAATAGAACACACGCAATCTTGAGGCAAAGCTTAAAATTAATGCAACTGATCTTATCAAATGATAAAGGAGAACATAGAGAAGTGTTGAGTAGAGTAAATAAATAAAAATTGGCACAGTAAAAACACAAATTCCTCCTCGGCTTTGGAGGTACATATTTTACTCCTTTATGACCTTATGAAAAGACAGTAAAATTTTATGTTGAGTTTTAATGCCACGGACCGTGGTACGCTCCAACAATGACGCATAAATGCGCTAATAATGACGTTAATAATAAAAAATATTCGGACCGTGCTAAAATTTAGACACCGATAATGGAGAGGACCGCGTTATCGAGGAGCTGTAAAACACAGTCCAATGCATCTAAATTACCATAGATTAAATAATGGAGGTGCTGACAGCAATTTTTGGATTTCTGGACGATTTCTAATAGTTGTAAAACTTAGCTGGCTGCGATGATTTGATGACGCAACCTTGTCGTTATGATTCTTTGTTTTCTATTCTGCAGAACGATCAAATTGGGCATGTTTAGGTAAAGATGAGCATTAACAAGACTCTGCCACCTAACAAGGAGTTGAATCTGAGGGTAATTTCATAGCACGGGATATAATTTATGGAATTCCGAATAAACCTTGCTGTTAGCACTTATATTTCTTCTACCAGGCATAAGCTAACCCTGCCTGGGTCCAACTCTAGTTTCCTTATTTTTTAATATTCAATCGATAATTTTATTGAAATTTTAAGATCTGATGACTAAACCCAATGATGCCATTGCTTTTACATCACAATGACGTCATGATTACCCAATTTGGCATATAAACCTTTTATACGATCTAAAATCATTAATATATTTCAGCTGTATATTACATATTGCAGACTGACTGTTATCATAACTTCAATCAAGCTTACAGGAAATCCAGCAGGAAAGGCTTAAAATTGATTTTCAGCAACAAAATAAATACTAAATTATCTAAATAAATGCTTATTGATGGCTGTCAATTAAGGCTGGAATGCTTAACTTTACAGACATGATTGTGCTCTTACCCCGACTGAATAATGCTCATATGTTACAAGAAAAATGCTGGAATGTGACCAGATACACGTAATGATTCTTGACAGTCAGTTTGTACGGTTTATACATATTTAGAGCATGAAAATTGAAACTCAAATAACGATCAACATATTGTTAATGTAGATCTCATAAGAAAATCATCGGGAATCGGTTCGAAAAATGTTCAATAAACTGGTTACGGAAATACAACAGCCATCACTTAATTGGATCGTGAACACTGTAGGAAATGGTTTACAATCATTTTCTGTAAATCTTCAATAATTGTCGATACGACTTTCTTGAATCTTAGAGCAAGACAGTAGCATCAAAAACATTTCCACTGGTGCCGTCTTTTTTCCATCGCTTAGCATTTTTCTAATTGTCAGTTCATAATCTAATTCTAATCCAATAATCTATCTAATTCTACAGCTATTATTGTCTTATAATTAGAACGATCAGTTTGACACGTACTTGGGCTACATTAGATTAACAAATATGCTAAGCATTATATACCGAAGCAGCAATTAAAGCTTACACTTACAGCGACAGTATAATTACGTTCAATATTGTAAAATATCATCGATGGATATTAATTTACATGAAACGGAGCACAACAACTTACTGGCCTAGCAACAACTCATAAATTAATGGCATCTGAAAGTCTGGTGTTCTGGTATGTGTACGCGGCTTTTAAACTTAACTTTGTAAAGTATGTTTACTGCTTTTCCTCCGCACTGAGAACTGGGAGGCCCTCTAAGGCCAGTAAAAATTCGTGATCAAAATCTGAAAAAAACCTGAGCTACTGTCGGAAATGGTAAAATCAAAGCGCTGCTCGACTGTTTTCCATTCAGAAAGTGACACTACCATAATTTTGACAGACTCGTAGTTGGGTTATTGTCAATTGTCGCGACTCATGACATGATTGTCCAGTCACAAAAGAATTTTAATTTTCTTATTTTTAGCACTTTCAGGTTTTGAATAACACGTTTTCGAGTACTAACTTTGCAGCCATTGGAAACTGGACATGATGTTTAAACTAAAGTTTATATGTCGACAACAGACATTTTTCAAGTATGGTGACCGGATATAAAAATGGTGGTCACTCTAAAGAATTATTAATATTACTATTAGTATTAGCGTAAATAAATTCATGGCATGGAAACGTTATTGAAGAAGAAGATTTTAAACAAAAATTGCTATAATTCGTAGAAATGGCCGAGTGAAAAAGGTGTTGATTTCGATTCAAACTATTCTGATCAATAATCATGACACTCTAAATTTTACTAAACAGTGCCGCCTTCAAAGCCACGGAATTCAACTCCTTCGTGACATCCCAAAGGCTCTAGCAACGTATTCCAAAACATTAAACAACTTAAACCGTGTTGATTTAAACCCTTCAGCAAACAAAACCTTTACTTAAAGTGTGAAAAGGACACTTGTTGACTTGTTGGACAAGGTTTAAGTACGTTAACTCTGTTTGACTAATTTGAGGTTTAGCGAGGTTTGAGTCAAAGCTACTGCATATTTGCTGGAAAGGAGAGCTGTGAGCTCCTTTGTGAGCTGACTTACAGCTTTTAGCGCTAATATAAAGGATGTGAGGCTGTTACAATTACATAACAACCAACCAATGAACGATGCTGTCTTGTATTGGGAAATAAAGCAAAGCCTGCGTAATATAAAATATAAAACTGCCAACAATGTTTGCCATGTTGACATCTTTCTTGTTGTTATGTTGAGAAGAAAGAAGAGGGGAGAAGGGAGGAAACGATATCATGTCTCTAAAGCAAAGCGAAAAAGCCAGAAAATTGCATGAAAATATATTGCACTAGTCTGAGTTGCAAGTGTGAGTTATTCTCCTTCAATTAAGTGTGAAAAACATGACTTAAATTCTAAATAAAGTGCAGATGACGATACATTAACATTTTTTATTTTTATGCGTTACTCTAGCAGCATGAAGTAGATATGATATATTCGTTATATTTTAGGTTTTAGCAAAAATTACAGGATACGCGACTAAGAAAAATGAAAAATCAGTATGAATATTGGATATAAAGATTGTGTTTTCTATTTTCAAACTAGCTAACCCAGTATAACCAGGTCTATGCGGCAACGACAACCACAAAAAAGACAGCATATTTCATGCAGTTTCAAGACCCGAACATTTGTCGGCTATTTCGGTATGAATTAAAAGAAATTATCATAATTAAGCACAGTGAGTCAGATAACTGAGGGCCAATTAACTGTGCTCCACGTTTATATCCGTATGCCAGCCGCCCTGCCATGTAGCGGTTATATTTATAACTTAACTACCAACCACAATCATTCAGGATCCGCGGAGTTTACCAAGCGCGGTACGGACGTTTGTTAAGTGGCCGTATAATTAATAGAAATAAGAATGTGATCTTATTGTGAAGTACCCTTTTGTAATTCGACTAGTTTCGGATTTTTACGGCCTTCCACCAGGGAGTAATAATTAAACGAAAAAATGACAAATATAACGGTAAAAGTTAGGTTAACGTAAAATACTTCTATTTATAGGCCTAATAATAATTCTTGCTTCATACTGTTCTAGATACATATCTTAATCAAGGTATTTATATTTTCTTACTGGGCGGCGCTCAGCCTGTCATTCCGCCGAATCTCTATTCGGCGGAATTTTATGAAGTTTATGAACATCATAGCCTGGGGTCCCCAGGTAAGGTATTATACATGTTATTATTATAGTAATGTTAAATTAGAAAGTTCATTGGAAAGTGTATTATTATGAGCTTATTTATGAGATTTCGCCATGTAACATGTATGTATGTATTATTTATGAACTTCATAAATACTTGAGCCTAAGAAGAGTTTTGTCGCGGAAGAGGAATGTCCAAAAGTTTATAACCATGTTGGACTCCGCTATAAGTTATAACTCTGCTTGTTTCAGCTAAAGTTTATTTTTTCTTCAACATCTTTTCATATCATAGTATATATTATATAGCTGTTTTATTAATAAAATTCAGACTTATCTCAAATCTAATTATTCGAAGGATTTACTGAAAAGTAAAAAGTTGCGTTTCGGAACAAAATTGTCCAGAGGCAAAACAACGAATATTACAAACAATGGAACTCAGTTTTAATAAATATCACACATTCCAGCTGTAACTGAGTATTATCCTATTATTAACTTACCATTGGCATTACCTGGCCAGTGACCATTAATTGACCACAATGAACTTACCATATGCTGACTAGTATAGTAGTACGAGCACTGACAGACCATTGGCAGACCAATTCAGCGAAAATACCAAATACTCGAGGAGCCAAATCAGTAAATCAGGAAATATAAATCGTAAAAGTCAAAACAACACAAGTTAACAAGTAAGTGGTGATTATTAGAACGTCATTCAACAGCATTTGTGCGTTAAGTGGGCTTATTAGATGCATTAAATCATTAATTAGTTGAGTTAAGTCTTAACTAGTTGAACTGTAGCCTAATGCAGGGTTAATTTTGCCTTGATTTAGAACTAAAGATACACAATGATTCGTGTTACGATCAGGTTCTGATGTCTAGAGTTCGTCGATTCGGTTGTTAATCAAAGAAAAATAATCTGTTATTAAACTTAGTAAGTTTTCAATCGATCGGCATTGTGATCAAAAGTTCCGAAGAATTCTCAATACCGGTCACTAAATTCCAATTGTCAATAGAAATAATAAATAGTTCTAAGAGTAAAATTACCTTTTTAAGCCAGAGATCTGCAGCCAGTCAGCGGCATTATCCCCGGATTCCCCACCAGATGCTTGACCGGTGTTAACACTCCGGGAAAAACTCCGGTACTTTTCCGTTATCCGGTCACATCCTTCACCACATTACTACAGGAAATGAAATGCGGAAATTGATTTATTGAAATATGTGTTTTTGATAATCACTATAATTACGACCACTTTACTGTCTGGTTTTCAGTATTTACTAGTGGTATTACGGAAAGAAATGACTGTCGGCGAAAATTTGAAGATGATAAAGATACATCCAGATATCAAAATGTAGAACAAAAGAATGTAAAACAGAAAAATTTCGACATCGTGAAACAAATGCAATAAATTGTGAATGACTAAGTGTGTAGCAATATTAAAGTTACGAATTTACAATTAGCAACTATTACGGTGAGTCATTTACAATTAACAAACATGCAATCTGAACTTATATTCAACTCGTCAGAACCAAAACGGTTTGTAATTGTGACACAACAATAAATTAACATATTCGCAATCAAAAATAATATTCAATTCATCACCTATGAAATGAATATGTGATAATTTTCAATCTTGTACAGAAACCTTCCAATTTACTAACTTAGTTTCAGAGTGAACAAAAAATGAGTAAAAACTTGTTATTTTGAAATGAAGAACACTCACAGTCACAGTGGTTAAAAATAAATTGAAACTCTGATTAAGACCGTGTTCGCTCCGGCTCAAGTGGTTATTGTGTTTGTTTTAATACCTACCTACATTACTCACTTCCACACAAATTTTCTAATGAAAATCGAGCTTCATTTGTTAAAGAGATACCCGACACTCGTCTTTTTCACTTCGTTATGCGGTGAGCAAATATAGATAACTCCCTCATTAGCGAAAATGTGGACGGTTGAATTAAAATAAAAGTGAGAAGCCAAAATGTTAAACGGCTTCAACTATAAACGTTTTTGCCCACATAACACGACAAACATTGTCAGGCTTATATTATAGAAAAAAATACCGAACGGTTTAGTTTAAGTATAAAGGCTGCGGCTATTTAAATTTGCGTTCTCATTAAAAACGTCCAAATTATCGCCAATATTTCGGTATATCAAGAATCAATATTTCGGTATATATCCATTATCCAACGAACGTGGTCACAAATTAAGAAATTGCTAATATATCTTTAACTTTAACTCGGTTCGGATGGCTCAGTCTAATTCTATAGCTGATCCACGCTTTTAGTCACGTACCTACTTAATACTTATACGTGTAACCACAGAACACGGACGATTGGTAACATTCTAATTTCCTTTTCAGACCTGGTTTGGTCACGTGCCAATTAGCAAATGATTATAGGCGGAATTTGTGTCTGCCAAATTGATTAATCAAATTACAGCGCTGTAATATGCACATAATTAACACTAATTACAACGCTGTATGCACATAATTAATACACTTGACAGGGTAAACTAAGAGTAGATTCGATAGATCACTAGATAGGTTTTACAATTTACAGCTTGATGCAATGTGAGAGCTGCTAACTTTAAGCCATAGAATATACTATACGTTTATAGGCTTTTGTGCATAGGTTCCTGACAGCCTTTTTAGGTGCAATTATGCGGAGACCATAAAATGCTGCGCTCACACGATTAAGAATGAATTTATGAGTGGAGCGAGTGACCAATTTGATTTTTGATATCAATTCAATTTTCAAACGGTCTAATATAACGGGAGGTGAATAATCTCAGGGGTGAAATTTCGTTTCAATTGACGCAATGTTGGAGGAATGAAATTACAGTGGGTGATATAAGACTAGGATAAGCGCCTGGTCACGTTGGACGAACAATGATTAAATTTCTTTCTAGCCCAACTTTGTATTGAATATGAATATATAATAAATAGGTACGGTATCTTCAAACGAATGTGGAATAATTATCAACTTTTGGAGCAGTCTTTCACGTTTCATAGGGTTCGTCTAGTTCGACTGAATCCATTCTATGGCAAACACTTATGAGTTATATGGAATGAACGAACCCTTGGATAAGCACAGGGCTTCAATGCTTTATCTTTTAGTGGTCATCTTGACCACAGCCCCCTACGAAGAAGAACAACCCCTGATAAGTATTATTCAACCGCGTCAGTCTGCTGAAAGTATTTATTACTATCGTCTATTGACTTGTTTTACACCTCGAATAGCGAATCGTGATAGGTTTAACATTAAGTAGTCGGCGGAGGTTCACATAATATAGTCCGGATTCGTAGGTCTTCACTCATCACTTGGATCGTTATTACTTTCCGTGCGTACCACTACCTCCTTATTGTTATCGTTTATTATTGTATTACTGTTAAGGCTAAGCCCGATTTTTTGTTCATCTGAGGGCGTATTTCAGACCGATTAAATTTACCGCAAGCCCCGATTGATCGCGGGTAATTCCCTTCCCCCGAATTTGTTATCAAAATTTACCTAACATTTATTTTCGAAAAATTTGACTTTCCGACAATTTAAATTTTTAAAGAAACGTGATCCCTTACAGAAGTGGCAGTGCTTAGTAATCGGTACCTTGCGATACACGTGATTGTCTGGACCACAAATATCAAAATTTACTAGATCCTTAGTAAATCAAGACAATCAGTAATTTATCTGATGAATACTTCAAAAAAATGAAATGCATTTGTGAGAGATTAATCTCCACACTATCTGTTTACCGTTTTATTAGCCTTCATTAAAATTAAACTGAAGCATTTGTAGTAGCCAGTAATCCGATACATGTCCTTGAAACGTGAAACCATTTCTAACAAAAAATATTAAGATATCGAAATAATTTTCTGAGTTAGCATTTACCAAGCTGACTGTTGGCTAACCTTCCGAGTACTGGTCTAATTTACCGCTGTGACTGTGAGATCTTAGTCTTGTTCCTTACCTACCGAAGTTTTGTTCCATTTGTGTGATTCACATTGTACTTGTAGTTCCTACTAGTTCCTCAATCTTGTTCCGTGTGTTTAATTCATAGTTATTCCTCAATTGTTATATTTCTTTTGTACGTTTAAACTGCTAACAGTTACCTCTCTCAGAATGAAGAGCCCTCTGCTCCACCTCGTCCTGCTAACCGCTCTCTTGGCTCTGTCTGGTAGCTGGAGGGTTCTTGTAGCCAACCCTTTTGCAGGAGGATCCCACCAAAGCGTCTCACTGTACCTGGCTAACCTACTGGCAACTAACGGTCATCATGTCACATACCTCTCAACCAACATTCCTAAGAAACTGAACTCGGGGGTCATCAAGCTGGAGTTACCTAAAACTGCTAACGTGGCTAACACAGCTATGGACGGAGGAGCATACAAGCAAGTTTGGGGGATAGAGTTATCCTGGTCCGAGAAGTATGAAGTGTTCCGGACTATTTCTAGCTTCTGTCACCTTTTCTACGAGGAGCCAAATGTTCAGATGATGATTAAATCGGGCCAACAATTTGACTTGCTCATTGCTTTTGGGGCACAAGATGGGTGTGCTTTAGCATTAGGGCAGCACTTGAAAATCAACAATTCCGTGCTTCATATGCCGGGAGCATTCCTTCTACCAACCCAAATTACTCATCTGGGAATCCCGCTGTATGCTTCCAGCCACAATGTAGATGGCATCAGGCTTGCTGATCCAACAAGCCTCCGAGAATCAATGTTATCTCGAGCAGCACAGCTGATAAAAGTGTTTGTAGCAGACGCACTAAACTGTCTGTTCTTCCGGTACTCAATAGACACAGTGGCTTACAAACACCTCCCCCACTACACCGGCTACAAGGACATGTACAGTACTGTGAGGGTGGTCTTCATGCACTACAACCCTCACCCTCTAGTGGATCTACCTCTACCAATGGGACCAGGGGTTATAAACCTAGGAGGGTCTACTTGTGACATTGGTTACGATGAGAATAAGCTCCCAGCTGATCTGAGAGAGTTTGTGGACTCATCCCCCGGTTTCATCCTGATTTCGTTTGGAAGTCACTTGGATCGTTTACCCGAGGAGGAGGTGAAGCTGTGGGTGAAGGTCTTCTCAACTTTACCCTACTCGGTAGTGTGGAGATTAGTGGGACACACTACAACCCTGCCGGACAACGTGAGAACGTACAAGTGGCTCCCTCAGCAAACCCTCCTACACCATCCCAACATCAAGATGTTTATCAGTCACGGAGGATACGGCAGCAAGATAGAAGCTGTGTGTGCGGGAGTGCCGTTACTTTTCGTGCCCAGATTTGCAGAACAGTTCTTCACAGCTCAGCATTACAGTGATATCGGAACAGCCGAACAAATTCTGATGAAACCTGCTGAGAGAACAGTGGAGGAGATAACGAATAAAATTTCTAAAACTCTGGAAGTGCACTCAAAGACGATGAAGCAGGTGTCAAGACAGGTTCTACAAACCAGGGTCACTGACGATCAGGCGCTTGGATATCTGGAGATGGCGGCATCTGGTCACCAGCTGCTACCAGGATACCAGCCCTGGTACCAATACTTCTACTTAGATATGATCATAATACCAACTGTTATTGTAGCGGGGTTGAGGTATTTAATACGCAAGTATATGTCCAGAGTTTGAGATTTAACAATCCTTTTAGCTTTCTAGTGTTAACAATTCGGTTTTCTTTCTCCAGTGCACCATCTCCTGAGTCGGGTTTATTTGAGATATGATCTACAATTAGGACTCCAACCATAATGTACTGAGTTAGTACAGTGAACTGTGACCCTTACTAGATGCTAAGTATATGTTCGAGTATGTTCAATTGTTCATGGTATTATAATTTGATGTTGTGTCTAATAATAAAAGTCAATAGATATAAATTAGTATAGGATTGTTCACATATAGGTGAACCATAAAGTGCGGGGGAGTATGAAGGGTTTCATTACGTTAAAGTTATTCTTACACAATAGCTATTTCAACAGTTGTCTCGTACGTCACGACTTTTATTTTTATTTAATTTCTGTTCCCCGTGGTTTCGGACTTGTTGCTGCCTCACAGCAGCTCGACTGCGAGGATGGGCAATAATAACAGAAGAGAATGGATATCTACAACTGGTTACAAACTAAAAAGTGATAAAGTAAATGAAAAATAAAGGGAAGTTTACTGATTGTCATTGAATTATTTGTATTCTTGGGTCGTTTCAATCCTGTCTATATAAATTGTTGCATGTTGTAATATTGTTTTCATTACTGACTATGATTATACGAAAAAATAAAAATTGTATCCCAGAGTTAACAGAAGTATTATTTGAAAAAATGAGCAACTTACAATCGGATAGTATTTCGTTGGTAATGGTTAGTAGCCACGGATCGAAAGGTTGCATATCAATGTTTTTCTATCACGGTCAGCACTTAGCAGTAACGAAATGTTTTACTATAATAAAAATTACGCACTTACTTAAATTATTAAATAAGCTATGGTACCTCGAATCAGAGCAATAAAAGAAACAACCAAATGTAAATAACATGAATGATTGAATAATATAACCGCTAAAGATCTCGACTCAAGCCAGCCTCTCCTGAGTTAATGTTCCTGGCGAGACTGAAAACCAATTCAGAAATCCTCTCCTGTTTCAGCTCGTCAACCAAATATATACAAAGAACATCCAGCATCCTTAAGAAGTGGAAATAAAGTGACAGCGAAAGTTTGAAAGTCATTTAAAGAAGTTGGTACCAGACGTGGTTGCGTTATTTCAAACTTTAATATGGATTAAAATATAATAGTATATAAAAATAATTCGATCCTCTCATCAGGAGCACGACAGGAACCAACAGTGAAATACAGCAAATTTATTGACAGATCGTTCCATACTTCTGCAGCGCTAGATATAATTATAAACCGGGCAATTCAAGGTTAGAGATTGTATTTCTACCTGGTTCACATTTATCTGAGTCATTCACAAACTGCAAATACCAACTGGGCATGAACTGCTTTCCTTGAAATTCCAGAAGTAATTCTCTCATCCCTGTGTATTTTAGCACCCAGGTTTCATCACTATCTGGTAAAACAGTGTAAACCCAATCAATTACATCTCCAATGAAACCAATCATAGCATTCGCCTCATATGTTTTCACATACATACCAGGTATTTGATCCACAGAAATCTGTGTCGGTTCGTCAGAAATAATACCTTGCTTGTTCTTCATTCCGTAATAGAGAATATCTACTTTTCCTAGGAGGGACTTTAACCAAGATAAAGGTATTCTAGAAGTCAGTTTATCCGCAAAACATGTTTTAACCTCCATATACTTACCATCGGATGCCATAGCATCTACTTCAGTACACACCAACAATCTTGTGTTGCCTATCTTTCCTTTCAAAATTTTGTAAGTGGCTTTGGTTCCAGTCTCTTTTTCCATCACAAATTCCCGAAATCTCTTGTCCCAATAAGAATTTTTGAGGCCCCATGCATCTAACTTCTGTTCTACTTCATCTATTCTCCTAATGTACAACTTCCCTTTGAATTTGCAGGCTTCAAATTTCCAAGGGGTTTTGTAAAAGTTGAGGTTGGTGTATCCAATATCCAATAGAACCCCTCTTTCTGTTATAACGTCAACATCAGACGTGGATTGGTAGCCGTCTTTGCTTCCATGAATCCATTTCAAGCATTTTTCCCATCGAGAAAAATAGGTTTTCCTGGAATCTACCAATAAATCTTTATTGTAACCGTCGTTCAGATTAAATGGTAGTTTCAAGCTTTTCAGAGTCGACATATCTGCTTTGTTGCAATTAGTAAAGTCCCCATCCTCACCTATAGAAAATGCACCAACTTCGGCTGGTTGGTAGGTTCTAAAATTCTGTAATCTCGAGTATTCTGACATCCCCTTGATGTCATACACTTTGGTATTTTCAGCCATACCTTCTAAAGTTTATACTGTCAAGTTAGCTACATAGCATACATTACAAATGGCAGCAGTTGTGAACATTAGAAATAACAACATTATTCAAGCATGCAAAAGGAAAACTAAAAAGTTAGAAAGTTAAATTAAAGATTAGGATCATCGAATAGATTTGTTAAGCTTGATTTGATCGTCTCCCGCACAGATTTTATCGGGCGTCATTTGGATTTTATATTATTTAATTTGTGGAGGATCAACTCAAACTAATGTCGTGACTTGACGAACATGAATACCTCGTGTACTTTAGTATTACCATCGCAACGGAATTAAATGAAATCCGAATTGCAAATCCACGCCTGTAGTTAAACAAATTAACTTTAACAATTTCAATCAATCGTCGCAAAAAAAGCTCGCACTATACAAAATACAACCGCTCAAATACTTGCCAAAGAACATTTTCTAAAGGCTCTGGCAAATGATGAAGCAGCTTATTTGGCATAGTTGAAAGAAGTGCGTATGGTATAATTGCCCTTAGCAAAAAGTACATTGCTACATTGGTAGATTGGTGAAATATCAAGCAAAATTCGCAGCGAAAGAATTGTTTGTTCGAACAGATATATAATGCTAATCGGACGTATCAGAGCTACTTCAGCTATTGAGTTATGTTCAATTGAAGGGTAATTAGACTGGATCTGGAGGAGTAACTATAAGGCTTACGAAATAATTTCTACCGGTATTTTGTCGAGCTGAATATCCTGCACCCTTTGAACATCTTTGATTTGCTTGAATCTCAAAAATGGCGAGCTGGAGGCCAGATTCACAGGTTTTAATCCGACAATTCAGAGCTAGTTCAGCTAGTGAGTTATGTCCGATTTAACTTTAGGCTAAGATTGGTCGACTGGATCTGGGTTCGAGACTCCATGTTTGCATCCTTGATACTTAACTCTAAGGATCATAGCAATCGACGACCGCTCGAGCTTTTACCATATTTTATCGTAGTGCAATTCTAAGCCAATCCTTGCTGACCCGAGCAATAATTAATGTATCTCATTTAGCGATTCTATAATCGAGTCACAGTTAGCTTTAGAATGTATTCTTTTGATGACACTTTTGTACTTCATCATACAACTTGATAGCACATTTCTGTTACTAAGATTTCTGTTACTAAGCTTTCTGTTACTAACCTGTCATGAAACTAACAATATTATTGAAGTAAGGTTCTAAACAGGGGACAGTTAAAAACAACGCCCAAGTTGCAAGTTTGATCTCTCCCTAAACAAATATTTCTAAATGTCTAAACTTCGCTATAGTTTCTGCCAATACCTCTTGTCACTGACAGTATTAATAATTTAATACTTTCAACACTACTATTATATACTACAAATAATTTGTGTTCTGATGAAGTGGCTGCGAAAGAGAAATGATTAACTAATTTTATCCTTCATTATTTCTGGCATATAATTTCGTTCAGCGAAGCAACTGCTAGAAGAAATATTTAACCTTCAACATGCACTACTAGAACTGTATGACTTCAATGGCTCAAACAGTTGCAATAAGATCTAGGCTATTTCGGCTGCATTATGATAAATATAACATCGCATTATATGATATTAACATTGCATTATGATTAATATAACATTATGCCTGTTATTGTTAAGCCGTAGTACATACATATTACACTAGTCACTACGATGGAACTTACATTGCGATGAAAACTGCGATACAATGCCGCGCCTATAATTATATAATGAATTTACTTGATGTGTGATATTTGATCCCACCGTAACTTTGGAGTCGTCTTTTATACGTGTTTTAAATGCATCCTCGGTGAAATCATCGTCATTCATATTCTGAAATCTGAATTATCTTGTATAGCAACTCGTAGCAGTCAAAAAGATCAAAGAAGTTACACTTTAATATATTTGGATGTTGAATTTGTTCATTAGTTTCATGTGATATAATTCAATCTATGCTACACTGTAATCTATGCTACGCCTACATTGTTTGTTTTGTGTTATATGGAACAGTCATCTTCTTTATACATTTTGTCCTTCTTTCGTGATTATCACGTTGAACTTTACTCGCGTACAACAAGTACTTAGTCCATATAAAACGGAAGTTTTGAAACATTAAAGATTTACAATTTTATTCAGAGATCACAAGCTTAATCATTTCTAACACAGGATGGCAACGACACCAGGTTACAATATTGGTGCATTTCACGAGTATTCCAAGATCCTCCATTACGCCACCTACCAGCCTTCCGATGTTGGCTCCTTCACGGTCAACAATGAGGGCGACTTTGACAACTGTGACAAAGCTAACTTTCCAAGATTAAAGGATCTTAAATCACCATTGAAGTTAAACCTGAATGAGGGTTTTGATCCTAAGATTATAGATAGTAAGATGCCAAGATTTCCGCACGCAGAAAAGCCCTTACGTTGGATTCGTGAAAGCAAGGATGGCTACCAGACGTTGGCTGATGTCGATGTTATCACTCAAAAGGGAGTATTCAAAACAATAGGGCACACAATAAGCAACCGGTACAAAAACTCTTGGACGATCGAAGCTTGCAAGTATAAGGGGAAACTTTACTTGAGATTCCCTACTGAAGATAAATGGTATCGTGAAACGGAGTGGGGTATGAGGAATTGTTACTGGGGTGTAAAATTTGAGGAACATGCCATTGAACCGGCTCCTCATGCTAAAGCGAGCTTCAAAATGCTGAAAGGCAAGATTGGTAACAAGAAAATCTTATTGAGTGCCGAGGTGGACGCGATAAAGACGGACGGCACGCTGGTGGAGATTAAAACATGCTTTGAAGACAAGCTTACAGATCAAAAGATGTGCTTTGCGTGGCTGCAATCATACCTGGGAAATATTGATGTCCTGTACTATGGGTGGAAAAATAAGCAGGGTGTAGTTTCCAGAAAACCACAGGAGTTCAAGATGGAAAGTATACCAGGTTCTAAGCTTTTAAAAGAACCGGTGGCGAATGCAATGTTTGGCTTCATAGGTGATTTTATTGATTGGTTGTACAATGCCCTACCAGATAGAGATGAAATCTGGTCGCTGGAATACACAGGAGGGAGACAAATATCATTTAAGTTTCACTCTGAAAAGTTTTTACCAAACTGGTACCTGCAGTTCATTGACAGCGCAAGTGAGGATGAATTGGCTAAGCAAGTAAAGGCCCTTGATTTGAAATGTGCTCACTAGGTGACTAGGAGTCAGCCACTCTTGTGAAGATTCTGGCAAATGTGGTTTTCATTATCACATAGGTTTATGGTTAAACTAACCTGTTAAATTTGGGTAAGAAGGATGCCACTCATTAGGAGCGGATTGACAATTTAGGTGCAATAATCGTGCGTGCTAGTTGCTATTTTAACTGATGTTGTTTGATTAATTATATATATTGCAAATGTTTTAACGAAATATTTAGTCCACAAAAATATTTGTTTAACTGAAATTTCCAAAATCAAATGTAATTGTGACTAAATCAAAAGATATTTTTCAAAACCCTCAAGTGAAACATTGTCACTTAAATTTTCGCAAGGGTACAACATTTTTTGTTACTTAGCATGTCTTATTGTCTACGGATAGTTTAAATTCATAGGACATTCAACTGGAAATTCCACGGCATACTGCAGAAGAGGTGCAAGGGTGCCCTAGTGAGTCGTATACTAGTCGCTGGTTGTGACACTTACTTACAAAATATGTGTTATATTGTTTCTAAGCAGTAGGAATACGTCCACACTACAGCGGTGAAACATCAAACTTTGGACATGGCGGCTGAAAGTTGCACTATGCATCATATTTGATATTTCTAGTCGAATTGTTCCGGGACAAACTTTGCCTCGTAATAGAAGAAAACAGACCCAGATTTCGAGATAAATAACACTCCGAGATACAATTCAAATATAGAATATTATAATAATGCACAATTATAAATAATTGCAATTTCAAAACACTGACCGCTAACATAAAATAGCCATACTTGTAATTACTCCAACCGAAATTCAAAACAACCCGAATAAAGGCTCCAAGGAGCATGCAACATTGAAACCTCGCGAACATTTCATCAAAGATTGGAGGACTATGCTCAGTATCGAACCAATCTTTCTAAGCCAAGAAACCACATTACAATATATTATGCATCGCACCCCACAATTACCCTTCAAATAGTCGTGGCACAAATATCATTTCGTTTAACATACAACATTCATCGAGCTCCTTGTTGAGCTTTTTAATCTGTAATCAGTAACCACAAAAAAGCCATGCTTTTTAAGAATTTTAAATTGATCATCTCTTGTATTTCACCGGGTAGTACTATACTATTCATCGAATTCAATCGAATAATGAAACCCATACCCGCCGCCCGCGTCAAAATTAAATCAAACAAGTTGTCACACAGTCTGGGGCTACAAATTTATTAAATTTGAATTTCGTTCGTTAATAATTTAAATTGGATGTCCAATGCAATCGAGACAGGAGGTACGTACGCGACGTACGTGCGCGGGTACAATAAAAGATTATAACCTCCGCGCGTTACATAAATATCGTGGCAAATTTTCAGGCACAGTTCACGCAGTTACACTTTTGTGGCGATCCTGGTTATGACAGAGTTTTCAAGCGAGTCCACGGAGAGTTCCTCCTTTGAGATACCATACACATCATAAACCTCGTAATCATCGTACTGAAACCCTCGACAATCATTCACTAAATCTGCTTTTACCTTCGATTTCAAATCCTGTGTTTTCTCTGATAACTCGCCAGTCGAATCAGCGATTGATAAAGAAATGACGTTATAACTATTAACATTGAGTCCAAAACGGGTTAGGCTCTGTGAAATGTTGTTGTTGGGTGACAAACACAGGATTATCTCCGTGTTGATGCTTTTTGTTTTCATCGCTTTATTCTTCTCGTTATGAAGTGCTCTGTTAGCTGCCACTGCGAGATGTAAAGGTGAAACTATCATGTTCTCGCTGAGGATCACGGAGTTCATTTTACCGGACTTTAGTAAGGTTATCAGTTCGGCGATGTTGCGGACATTTCTGAAGATCATGTAATCTATGACTTTCTCAGGGTGCTGTTCTAAATGTAATCGTGTCATCCTAGGAGATACATTTGTTAAAACTTGTCCCTAACTTCAAAATAGGGCAGAAATGGCATTTTTATAATATTATATGAATTAATAATTATACCAATTTTTGTTCATTCATTTGGATAAAAGCAAGTCAATCTTCTTGCTATCATCTTAAATTCTGTGAATGAGACGAAATCAATTGGATATTATGAAATAATTTTGCCGTAAATTAAGAGACAAATTTGTCATATCAAATCATATCAAATCAAAGAATCGATACAAAACTGAATTATATACATTGTTATAAAATTACACAAGCGTTTAGGAATTAAAGATTTTAATATTCAAAATAATTCCCATAATTTAAAAATAAAAACAACTCTTTTCCAATATCTGACGCAATTTATTAAAATTGAATTATAATTTAACGTTAATATAAAACATTCGCAACGACCACTTGCACATTTAACAGCACGGAATACGTTTCTAAGTGGAGACAATGTTGAAAGGAGCATTGTGCTTCAAAAAGGAAGCATTTTGCCCCAAAAATCATTATTTTTAAACGACGATAATATATCCCAGTACACATAAGACGGAAATGGTACCAAACATCTTTCAGTAGCATTGAGCTCACGCCAAATTTTGAACCTATCTCTTTCAGTCTTTCACTACAGCTTTTGGTTTCTCGTTATCACTTGTTTCCCTGATGCAGTGTCCAGAAAAGTAAGAAACGAATAACAAACCAGGGTGTCTTGAGACGAATTAATTGATTAACTTCTGTTTCATTCTGGCCACCATAAGCAGTGATGGAGGTAGCACTCCTGCGGCTAAAGGAGGTGGTCTTTGCGGTTTTCTTGGCAGAATAGTGGGCACACCATCACCCGACCCGACTTCATCTCTATGCTGTTTCTGATATAATACATTCCTTTTAGTCCAGAATATCTACATGTTTCCATCATATTATGATATTTACAATCCGTCGGCCTTGAGCTTATTTGGATGCAGTGTTCAGTAAAGTAAGAAACGAATGGCAAACCAGGGGTGTCTTGAGACGAATTAATTAATTTGACTGTTTCATTTTGGCCACACTTCAAACACTTAGTAACAGGTAACATTTTGGTACCGTGATCCAAATCAAATGGAGCAAAGAAAACGACCTCTTCCTCGTTACAGTTATCATTTTTAGATTCAACTCCAACGATTCCATCTTCCAACTTAACTTTAACTCTAATTTTGTCTCTGAACGAAGATTCACGACAAAATGACAATCTCACCCATTCCCCCAAAACATTCTGATTTCTACGAATAGCCAGACAGTAAAACTTTTTCAAGTCTGAGATCTCCTCAAGGACATCTGAATGGAGAGGATCCAAACATTTAGGATATTTCAGTGACAACTGTTTAAGAGAAGCTTCCCAGATCTCTCTAGACAAATCCCTCAAATATCTGTTAACGGACAACAAGGCACCCAAGTCATCTGGTTCAATAAAGGAAGCTATGTGGAATAATAACTCTGCTGGTAATGCAGTTAAGTGATCCATGCGTTTCCTAAAATAAGTTTAATTTAAATTTAGCTATAATGAAAATTATCGTTTTAAAAAAGCATTTAGAGTTCAATAGATGTGGATACTGGCGGGGAGGTGATAATTGTTTGTTTACATTAATAGTGAGCACATGTTAAGCAGGCTGAGGAGGTGATAATTGTTTGTTTACATTTTAGGTCGAGCACATGTTAAGCAGGCTGAGGAGGTGATACATATTTTGTATTATAGAAGGTTTGTAACACTTGTAACGCCTTCTTGTTACCCCCCTTTGAGGACCCCGAATTATTTTCTGAACGAAAGCTCAAAAATAACCGAGAAATCGACCTTCTTATTAACTCATTTTGATGACTGTTTCTGACCTAAAATTGCACGAAAAATCGATTTAGCTAGGTTTCAGAACCTATAAACACTTCCTTATCCCTCAAAATTGATGTTTTATAGTTAATACGACCAACAAGCAACATATATTTTGATCCTTCGGTTCTACTCATGACCTAGACAGTTAAGCTGAACCCTACAGATTGAGGCAATCCTCACCTTAACTGATCAAACTGGTATTAACACAATTTTCAGATATAAATGTTCTTTGCGATACGTTTATTGCAGCTTTGCAACTTGAGTGAAGACCAGAGTACGAAAACACACAGCAGGTAAGCAACTCACTTTTGGTGACTGTTCCTCACGAACATTCTGATCCTGTAACATATGAACAGGGAGATCGTCTCCTTAACAAATCGAACAGGTACTATCACAATTTCCAGAGCACAGCATGATAACAAAGTCAAAAGAAACACAATGAAGGTAGGTTACCAACACCACAATATAACAATCATACTGACAACTGAATTAAATGTATTCTGACGACGGGCAGCCCTGAGGCCTGATGTGCTCCGTGGTCCTCAACGAGCGACCACTTGTAATAGAGCTTCCAGTTGGTGTAAACTTAAAGCACAGTTCATCATTTGGAATCTCACTCAGTTCATAATCGCGACCTCATATTAGAGTAAATGTTTTTAATAATACTAATCTCCGCAATTGAACAATGAAACCGAAACATGCTATAACTAAAGAATGTTAATGTTCCGTTCATGACTGGACGGTTAGCATCACAGTCAGTTGGAGGAGCGACCAACACACTATCAAGATCGGTTGTTTATCTTAAACCCCATCTCCCGCCCCCACCCCCCCCCCCAACAGTTTGTAATGTACGTGGGCGATGGGCCCGCGGTTATATAAGTGTACAACAATCACACTATTTCAAGTTCATGACGTAATCATGGCGTGTTTACCGCGGTGCAGATATTGCACGCGGACCTTGCCGAGTCAAGATGTGGTAGAGATAACAATGTGAACAGAGGGTCAAATAAAGATAAGGAAAGTAAACACACGATATCGATCTGCTCACTTTTCCTGTTGGTGATTGGACGGATCGGTGTCACATGACATAACACCTCTATTACAAGTGGTCGCTCGTTGAGGACCACGGAGCACATCAGGGCTGCCCGTCGTCAGAATACATTTAATTCAGTTGTCAGTATGATTGTTATATTGTGGTGTTGGTAACCTACCTTCATTGTGTTTCTTTTGACTTTGTTATCATGCTGTGCTCTGGAAATTGTGATAGTACCTGTTCGATTTGTTAAGGAGACGATCTCCCTGTTCATATGTTACAGGATCAGAATGTTCGTGAGGAACAGTCACCAAAAGTGAGTTGCTTACCTGCTGTGTGTTTTCGTACTCTGGTCTTCACTCAAGTTGCAAAGCTGCAATAAACGTATCGCAAAGAACATTTATATCTGAAAATTGTGTTAATACCAGTTTGATCAGTTAAGGTGAGGATTGCCTTAATCTGTAGGGTTCAGCTTAACTGTCTAGGTCATGAGTAGAACCGAAGGATCAAAATATATGTTGCTTGTTGGTCGTATTAACTATAAAACATCAATTTTGAGGGATAAGGAAGTGTTTATAGGTTCTGAAACCTAGCTAAATCGATTTTTCGTGCAATTTTAGGTCAGAAACAGTCATCAAAATGAGTTAATAAGAAGGTCGATTTCTCGGTTATTTTTGAGCTTTCGTTCAGAAAATAATTCGGGGTCCTCAAAGGGGGGTAACAAGAAGGCGTTACAAGTGTTACAAACCTTCTATAATACAAAATATGTATCACCTCCTCAGCCTGCTTAACATGTGCTCGACCTAAAATGTAAACAAACAATTATCACCTCCTCAGCCTGCTTAACATGTGCTCACTATTAATGTAAACAAACAATTATCACCTCCCCGCCAGTATCCACATCTATAAAAGCTTATATTAGTACAACTTAGAAAAACAGCAAACAAACCCCAGGTTTTTACATGATCCAATATAAAGAAAATTTTGAATCAAGTATTACAGAGGCAATATATATATAAGTGCAGCGAAATTTTGCGAAAAGCGCGATCCAACGCTTGCCTAAAATAGCCTAATCTGCGGCAAATTTGGCGAATAGTGCGGCGAATATTTGCGAAATGTGCAGCAAGCGTGTGGAAAATTTTCTTCAATTATATAGCCCGATAGGTCTTTATTGGAAAGCTGCTCAAACATTACTGCATGGGGTAAGTTTAATAATTCTAGTAAATATTTTAAGACCCGTCCGAAATTTTAGAGCTTTAGTTAACCGGATTCTGATAAAGATCCAGTCTTCAGTAGTTTGCTGGTGATGCGACCTAGGAAGAAGGCTTTGGTGATGTAAGTATACAAGTACGAATTAAATCCTAGGCTCTGAATGCTGCAGAAATATCACCTTGTTTGGAGGAAACTTTATAGGCTTTTTAGGAGCCGGCAAACTAGTGGTGCACTATGAACAAATTAGACTACTGATCCTCTCTCTCTACAGAGCCACAGGACCTTAATCACTGACTCGATCAGTGATTAGCTGGAGATAAAAATATATTTCGATTTCTAAAGTTGTAAAATACAAATGTTGATAAAAACAACAACACCTATAACATAAAAACAACAACACCTATAAATCCAAATAGAAGTGTTGTGACAAATAAAAGTAACAGCGTGGTTTAAAAACCAGTCACTAACTGACTGCCAGTTTGAATGTAAGCGCTCCTCCAAATAATGATAGGGTTTATAAACGCACAACAATTATTACATCATGAGACGAAAGTTATCAGCTTTTGAGTTTTGGGAGTTATTTGAAAAATTTCGGTCCCCGATAAATTGCAATTTTTAATGATACCAATACAATAGCTGGTGATCATGGTCTGCAGTATATTATGTGTTCCTTAGAGCCAAGTATTATTTCTATCTGATATGCGGACTAATCTATAATATTTATAATAACTGATTGAATTTATTCTGCTCAACATTAGCACGATGACGACAGACTAACGAAATTGTAAGCTGATCTTCATTGGTGGCAACTTTATAATTACGGTGCAGGCCTCCTTATAACAAACAGAATTCAAAAGTCGAAATAGCCCATTCTGGTTTTGACTCACCGAGTAGGCGAGTAACAACAAACATAAAATCCTCTCCATTTCAGCTACCCCGACACGACCACGATCTACTCACTTACTGAGTCAAAATAATATTACAGTTTACAAGAGACAGTGGGAAAGAGTGAATTTGTGACGGATATCGGAATATGTACGGTCGGCATAATATATGTTCCAGCTTGGGTATCGTCTTGGGGCTTCATCTAGTCCATTTCCAAGTCAATGAAATTTCATCCATGGATCACATCACCAATTAATACGATGGGACCCCGGGGGTATAGGTCTTGATTACAGTTGATTGCGGAGGGGAAAGGGTATAAATTGCCAAAAATAGATTATGTAGTTATGTAGGTAATATGCGAACTAAATTCCTGAGCTCTTAATGCAGCCAAAATATCTCTTGTTAAGTGGAAACTGTTTTTGACATTTTATGAGCCAGGAAACTACTGCCAGGATCGGATGGTGTCCGTGCAGACCTCGGCCAACTTTTTAACTGAACTCTACCCAATTTTTCGATAGAAGTTCCAAATTGCGCGAAAAGTGCGGAATACCACTGTTATTGCGAATATGTGCCGCTAATAGAGCGAATGCGCACCCGCCGCACTTATATGTTACCTCTGATTGAGTATTGTTTGAAAACTTTTAGATAGGGTAGATAGTAACACTTTATGACAAACCTCACCTAGGACACAATTGCATGATTTCCTACAACTACATCTGACATAAACAACACCTGGCCTGTAAGTCCGAGGTGATCGCCAGAAAGACGGACCATTCACCGGGTTATCAAAGTGATTCAAATAAGTGCAGCTAACATATAGTCCTAGTTTCATCTTGAATTGTACAGCACACGTGTGGCCATTACCACATTTAGTACAGTCTGCTTTTTTCAGATCACTATTGCATGCTTCCAGGTCGATTGGTGCAAAGAATTCCATAGCATTCACATCTTTCTCATTAGGCGTATTGCAGTCATAATTTACAAATCCAATTATTCCACCTAACTCCAAATTGACTCGAATACTAAGAGTTCCTCTATCTTTTTGGGCACTTCCTCTATCACTTTGGGCACTTTGCACCCAATCCCCCAAAACTTGCTTGTTTTTACGGATAACCAGGCAGTAAAACTTTTTCAAATCTGAAATCTCCTCAAGGACATCTGAATCGAGAGGATCCAAACATTTAGGATATTTCAGTGACAACTGTTTAAGAGAAGCTTCCCAGATCTCTCTAGACAAATCCCTCAAAGATATGTTAACGGACAACAAGGCAACCAAGTCATCTGGTTCAATAAAGGAAGCTATGTGGAATAATAACTCTGCTGGTAAAGCAGTTAAGTGATCCATACTCCAGTCCTCCAGCGTTTAAACCATAGATTAATTTCCACTTTCTGTAAAAGTCAGGGTTATAATAGTGAACTGAAGCTTCGTGTGTGAACAACATTTGAGAACAACATTTGAGAACAATATTTCACACAGCCAGTAGTACTTATAATCAAGACAAGGTAATTTCTTCGTTTAGAAATTATATAATAAATAGGGACAGCAATTAATCTATAAATACACATTAAGTCGGAAAACCTGTACTGAAAAAAGGAAAAAAGAGTGCCAATCTTAAGAAAATCTCACCATATTCAATAAAATGCAAAAATATTATTCACGTCAACTCTAAAAAATATTCTACTCTGAAATAAAACAACAAAATTATACAGATTCGAATTTTGTACCTCAAAAATCCGAATCTGAATCCTCACTACACACAAACTTTGTCTTTTTTGCCTTTGATTTTCCCGAGTTTTTAGGAGCAGGTTTCCGTTTCCTAGTTTTTGGTTTAGGACGTCCACCTCTAATTCCACCAACGGCATTCTGAACTCTCTTGCCAATGGGGGCTTTTGGTTGTGATAAACCGAAAAAATTGGTGATTGATTTTTGTTTGGTTTTGCTGCTCAAAGATTCCAGCACCGGTTTTAACGTTTCATCTACTTTAGTGCCTCTCCAGCCTAGCTTTTTGAACAGAAAATCTTTTATCAGACAAACGTCAATTTCGTCCCAGCTAAACTTCTCGTTTGAGCTGTTCACCTTTGGGTGAAGGTAAGCATCAACAGCTGCAACATTGGGAATACTCGACAAATCGAACTTCTTGAACTTGTTCTCGACCTCCAGCTCCGGTAACTCCACAAATTCTTCCAGTGTTTGATACTTGGAAATTATCTCTAAAGCCAGGACACACCCGATACCCCGCACTCCAGTACAGTAGTCACTTCCAACGAACTGGGCTATGTCGATTAGTGCCCGTCTGTTGAGACCTAGGCCTTCCTTTACTTCATCGGATGTGAAACAACGCATGTCACGGTCTTTCTTGAACACGTCCTTGTACACGCGAACATTTCCAAACAAGAAAATATCAGAATCGTCAGTGATGACTCCGTCACAGATTCCCAGGTTACACAATTCCGCACACTGGGCCTCAGCCTCGCCTGGAGCATCCAGGAATGGAATTCCAAATATTTTGAGAAGTTCTTTAACATCTGTAACAATACCCTTGTTGACGGTATCACCGACTGACATAGCTTTCCGATGTTTTGCTTTGACTGCTTCTAGCTCTTCGTTTATGTCATCCTGTAATGTTTCCAAGTCCACGACTTCATGATCACCATTCCTACTCTTGTTTATATCATGGATATTTGGTAAGTTATCAGTGTCATTGACAGACTTCAGAGGAACACTTTCATCAGAAACACTGTCTCCTGTTTTATCTTGCAAGAAGGTATGGGTCTCTGGGATACTGATTTGGTCAGGAACATCAATTATTTTAGTTGGAGCATTCACAACTTGAGCTGTAATACTTTGCTGAATGTTATCAATTGATTCTTTAATCTGAGGTAGTGGTGGGTTAGTTTTCAACCCCACAACTGAATCTATAGTTCCCTCGAGAGGATTATAATCCGAGGCTATCAAATTCTGATCTCCGATAGCATCTGCTTTCGGGGTTTTAGTCGGAAGATCAACAACATCATCTGCATCAATAACATAAACTTGATCGATGGCTAACGATGGAGCATCTTCCACTGTGCTGTCTCCATTTAAATCTGATTTGCTTCCGGGCTTTTCCAATTCTTGAACCTCCTCAAATTCTGACTCTGAACTGGAAGACACATCACAGTAGTCAGCGTTACCCATCTTAAGCTGAAGACCGCTACTTTCCACGGTAGTCTTTTTCATCTTGTTCGCGTATGGGTTCCGGAAAGTACCTGGATGCCCTCGACTCAAACCCAGCACATTCTTCACTTCTCTATCATCATCAGATTCAGATTCAGGTTCTTCTTCCTCAACTTTATCATCCTCGGAATCTGATCCAAAGAACAAATTTTTCAATTCATCAGATTTCTGTGGTTCTGGCTCTTCTATCACAGGTTCCGGAATATCAACTTTTTTCACGATCACTTCTTTCTTCACCCTCCTCTGACGTCTCGTATCTACAATATCATAATCAGTATTATTGATTTGCTTGGTAAACACAATTTCAGAATTCTGACCAGTTTTAAAAACTTGGACGGTGTGGCCATTTTCCTCCTGTGACCCACTGTTTTCTTTCAGTAACTTTCTCAACTCAACGAGCCTTGTGTTGAGTGTGTTCTTTGCCACTACATTTTCAATTTGGCTTTGAGAGAAGCTATCAGATGATGTGTTTTGATCATATGACAGCACTTTTGCTCTCTCTTTTATATAGTCGATGTGCTCTATCAAGAGTTCGTGTTGAATATGTGCAGGCAAGGATTGGAATTCTTTAGAAAACGGATCAATTTTCTTGGATTGATAATTTAGATGAGAGGCTGGCTTAGAGGGACCTGCTGGAGCTCGTCGAGTTCACTATCAAACTTCTGAAACAAGTTGTCAGTTTTCTGAGGGTCCAAATAAAACATATCATTTTTGTCCGCTGTGCTCCTGTTTTCTATCGGCTGTGGGAGCTCCACTTCCTTCCCCATGACATGAGCTACAGCTAGCTTCTGTAGACTAAGCTTGACTTTCTCGTCCTTCTGTGACATAGCCACCTCAGTGGCGCGGTTCTTGAGTGCTTTACGCTTAGCGCACGTGCGTCGCTTGATATCTGGCACCATTCCGTCGAAGACAATGATTGGTTTGACGTGATAGAAAAGGAGTTTACAGATCCGGTGATAAACTGCTATAATGTGGGCGTTTGCAAGCCTATTACCTGAAAATATAGAAGTTAACTAACTTGCATGACTTGGCTAAAAGAGGGAAACTTTGTACCGATTGAAGTTATTAATCATGTTATTTCATAATGATATGCTTTATTTAATATTTAAATTAATCCGCCAGGAAATGGTTTTTAATAAATATTGAAATAAACTATAGGAATATCAATGGTACATATCATAGTATTATACCTTCAGCATCACGCATCGCCTTGATGATCTGATTGAGCCAAATGCTGATATCCACAGCAAGTATCCTGTGAGACATCGACTCCAGAGGTACTGTCTGACCCGTACTTTCTAGCAACTTCCATAGCCCTTGAACTCCCATTGCTAGGAATTTAGATGTTGTCAAGATGCTATTCCTTGTTAATTTATAATTAAACAAACATCTGAGGAAAAGTTACCGCGCATTTCGAGGAGTTGTGCGGTATCTGAGATTGTTGAGTCTTATGTTATTGCGTATTTGCTTGAAATTTATAATGTGAAACTCAAAACAAATAATAATTTGAAACAAGGCAAGTAAAACAAACAGCTGAGGAAGTTATGATAAAGTACCGTTCCTGAGTTTGAAATCTGGTTTCATATTATAACTGAATTTCCTTTAAATAAATAAAAAGGGAAGCGATGGTCATGGTCTGATATTTGGTTCTATTTAAAAAGCCATGTTCACAAAACGTTATCAGTTTGGTAAAGTTAAAAATATGATACTGAGATAATATTATAAATCTTGTTCCGGCCTAGAAGCTTATCTCTCGAAACGTCGTTCATAGAGCAGAAATTTGAAACAACTGATCAATCGTATTATATTAGATTATAGTACTTCATAGCCGTTTAATAATATCTCATATAGTTAAAAATATCAAAACAAATAAATTAACCCATCACACTTAAAAGATGTAACCCTCTAGTCCGACATATCATCAGAATCATCAGAGTCAATAACATCCTCCTCTTCTTCTTCTTTTAAAGATACCGGCGATAAAGGAGCTGTTACCTCCTCGTCGCTCTTTTTCTCTTGGAGGAGCAGCTCTAGTTTACCCTGCGGTTTTGTAACAGGTTAGTAGGGTCATTACTCGTTATTATTTATAGTAGGCTCATTATTAGATATTGTATAATATTGTAATAATATTAGTATTATTACAGTGCCAAACTCTGAAACTCACACATAAAAGCACATACAGGGACAAGAGCTCAGCTAACATGTACAGTCCTAATAATTACAGGGACAAGAGCTCAGCTAACAGCTCGGGGGACCTTAGTATAGTAATTACAAAATATATAATTTCAAATGCGAATTTTGACAATTTTAAAACATCCCAGGACCCCAGGACCCGACTGGCACTGACCTGTAATTTGGTAAGTTTAGGATAGTTATTTAACTGCATATCAATGAGTTTGTAAAGTGGTTGTAACTTGGCCGCTACATCTGGACTGGAAATAAGGTAGGATCTGTGAGTTACAAACAGCTGTCGGAGCCAGATGTTCAGCTCTCCTCCTCTGCTCGGCTTAGATTCTATCTTTTCTGTGGGAGTGAGGTGCGTTAAGATAAGAAGATAAGAATATGAGAAGCAGGTTCGGAAAGGTTTACAGATTTTTGTTTTTCAAGGTCAGGTTTGAGGTTTGTGGCGTCGGGTTTAGGTATAATCTATAAACTATCCAGTATTCATGCTCATAACAAATAAGATGGATTCCCCGTAATATAGACTATCTCTTTAGAGTTTAGTTGTACTTTGATTTATTACAATTTCATTATATTAAAAATCTCAAAACTTGCAGAATCGTGAAACTACCGGATTATAACTAGTTACTTGCCTGTAATAGCTAGAATAAGAGGTATAACATGGGATAAGGGTAACCTGCCGAGTGTTTTCTCGACTGTCACTGATTTCTTGTAATGCAAAACCTGAAATTTGTAATGTTCAGTCAAACGCTTTCGACTTAAAATGTGGAATAAAAGAAAGGTTCTGAAGTCAGCAGTTTTAAAAGTTGACAACAAATTAAGCTTGATTTTCTAAGGTGAACATTGAACAATGTTTAAAGCAACAAAAACTGTTTTTAACAGCACCACACAAACACGAACCTCCTCGAGCAGAGCATGATCTTGGGCGGTCAGGGCCTGCACTAACATCTGGGCCAGGGAGTCTGGGGCTGGTACCACCGTGCTGCTACTTACTGACAACATTCCTAGCTTCATTTGAGTTGGGTTAGATACTAGTTCCCCTTTCTACACATTTCCTCTTTCTATATATTTCAACAAATATGCAGTCTAAAATATGAATTTTTGACCTGCTAGAAATAACAGTCTGTCAGAATTTGTTATTATCATTTGTTATTTATAATAATTCCTTTAGGAATTTAAACTTCGTTTTCCATAAGTTATGGAAATTAAAGTTACAGTCATGGACTTTAAAGTGAGGAGCCAGAAAGGTCGAACTTCCAAATTATTCTAGGATATTAATTATTAATGAGGTCCCGGGTCAGTCTAGCTCTCTAAAGCTCTAAGGACAATACTCAGTAAACCTACTGCAGTACAGAGGATAATTACAGCTTACAGAGGACCTTATCATAAAGAACTTAGGTGTGAGGACCTTATTATAACTTATAAAGAACCCAATGTAATTCTCATTAACTTAATGTTAGCCACTTAGCCCTAGTCCTTACAGGTGCCAAAATCCTGTTAAATATTCAAACTATTCCCCAAAGAGAGGCCTAACCACTCTAAGCATCATTTCGTGTGCGAGTAAAGGGGATATGTCCGGCTCCTTCGACAGCAATGTTACTAACATTGCTTACATTTGTTGACCTTGGTTGTACAAAGACCTTTCTAGAAATCCCGTTGAAGGTTGAGCAAGTTAAACAACCATTATTCCCTGTCACTGTAGGCTCAAGTTTTGAGTTAACTGGAGTTTACAAGACTGAGCCCTCAAGTAACAGCAAGGCAAAAGTTCTCCTATACGATGATGACGGAAACCGACTATTGATATTGCAACTACGGATGAACTACGCAGCGGAACCTTTGGGGGGCAACTTTAACTACGTTTTAGTCACCAGCAATGAGCAAGTATGGAAGTATACACGCCGGAACATACAGTAAGCGGTTTGATTTACCGATGGACCTGGAAGATGGACTAGAGATTGAGATCCTGCTTGAAGTTACACAAGATACCTATGAGGTCACTATAAACGGAGTAAAGTCAACAGAGTCCATGATAAATAGCAGGGAAAATGTGGAATACTTCAAGATAAAGACATTGACGGCAATAAGTTCTCCCAGCTTCACCTTCAAGAATGTTATACAGATGGCTGAGATGGCTATTATAGGTGAGGCAAGATTACACTTAAATGAATACTATACTACAAACATTAGCGAATTCTAAGATTGCTACTTATATGGTGTTGATAAAATGGGAACTTTTTCAACACTCATATAAGTTGCAATCTATATGACGTGATAATAATACTTTAATGATATTTTAACATTTTCAACACAACTACAGGGGGGGGGGGGGGGGGGCCGGGGGCAACTACAACTTCAATAATTTTTATTCACTACAACAAGATACATAATGTTTTATACAATCCAGGCTGATTTGCCAGATTTAAGAGCAGACTTTACCTGTTTTCCCAAAATTTAAACATTGAACATGCACTGTACATTACTAATATAATTGGACTCTAAAAATAGAGTTCGCTAAATGTCCTTGCTTTAATAAATAATAATAATAAAATTTGGTAGCTTAAACACAAACTCTAAGCCCAGTGGATAAACCACAAAACTTATGCTCTATTGTGTGAAACAAAGATACTAGATCAAGATAACTATCCAGGAGTGTATGCATAGGACATAAAAAGTTTTGGAAAGAAGATGATATGCTTATGAAGCGAGCTAACAGTCTAATTGCTAATAAGTTCAAAAAGATCATGACATTAGGTTGCATCCTAAACAGTTTAAGCAAATAACATAAAGTTATATTGTCAATTAATCGCTCAAGCCATAACTTTTCTTAAACAGGTGAGTTTTTAATAATGTTTTGAACAGATCAACATCAGAACAAGTCTTAATTTCAATTGGTAGTTGGTTCCAGATTTTCGGAGCAACAGTCTGAAACGCTCTTGGGTGCGATCTTGTAGATCCGACAGGTAGGTGTAAGGAGGAAGTTCTTCTGCTACTCGAACTAACAAATGTTACTAGATCACACAGATATGCAGGAGCAACACCATTGACTGCTTTGAAAATCAGTAAACATAGCTTAAACTCAATCCTTTCCTTCACCTTGAGCCAATGAAGGGATTTGAGCCTCTCCTCGACTGAGTCTCTCTTCTTTAATCCAAAAACCAGACGGCATGCTCGGTTCTGAATGTTCTGCAGCTGCGTAATTGAGGCTTGACTACAACCATAGTAAAGCGCATTGCAGTAGTCAAGCGATGAGATTACAATTGCTTGAGTCAGTGTTCCCATCTGTTTGGTTGTGAGGAATGTTTTCATCTTAGCAAGGTCTCTTAGTTTCAGAAAACACGATGTTTTAAGTTGCTTGATTTGCTCACCAAAGTTTAGTTGAGAGTCGAGACGAAATCCGAGGTTCTTTGCAACAGGTGACAGCCTGACACACGTCTCAGAGTTAACAAACACGCCCCCCTATAGACAGCTGCTGGAGAACAAGCGGTGTCCCAAAAACAAGAATCTCAGTTTTTCCTGCATTGAGCTGTAGATAATGTTTTTTCATCCAGTCATTAATTTCTTGGAACATTTGGGAACATCGTTGATAAGGACGGTGGGCTCCTCGTTTGGCTTGAAACTTTTATACAGCTGATGATCGGTCGGCGTACCCCTGGATGGAGAAAGTTCAAATCCAAAGTGCAGCAGAGTACCAAGAGCCGAATGAAGATGTAGAAACGGACCGGACCCCCGCCACAGAGCCCTGTAGGGACCTCCAAACTTAATCACTACCTCATAAGATTCACATTTCCAACTTTAAGTTTAATCTACCGTGGGGGCGTAAACCTTTTCCCCGCTGCCCGTATTCCCCCCCATTTTAGGAGTTCAGGGGTTGCATGGTAAATTATCAAAAGTGCGCGAGATCTGAAAGAAAAACAGTTCCTTTGTTTGAGATGAAGAGCAACGTTAAACCCCAAAACCCAAGCCGGGTTCCGGGGTTTTATTGGAATCCAAAAATGCGGGGATTTTTTTTGTTTTCAAATTTTCATTTACGCCTGAGCACACTCTTTTTAAATTTGGAAAAAAACAAAGGTTTTAGAATTTTGAAATCTTGGTTATCACTTTTAAAACCCCTGGCCCTTGATCAAGGGTTGTAACTAGTTTAGCGCCATAAATACGCCAAAAGAAAATGGTTTTTTCATGTCCTAGCAGGAGTAAACCCTCCGGTTTTTCTTTAATTTTTTGCGGTAGGGGGTAAATTAAAGAAGACTTGCTCAATCCTTGATTATTCCTCATTTTTAGATAGGGGAAAGAACTAAATTTTTTTTTTCTCCGCAGAAAAGGGGGGCTTTAAACTCAACCCCATGAAAAAGTTATTCTATTCCCTTTATTTTTCCTAAAATACGTTAAATTTTTTTCGACTGGCCCTTGAGACCCCGGGGACAACAAACAATGTTTACCCGACAAAAAAGGTGTCCCAAATCAAAAAACCTTTTAGAAAATGGGAATTTTTGATTGGGGGGGGGTTTTTTGAAAAAATCATGTTTTTTCCTTTTGAGAGTTTCTGTGCATGCTTCTGATTGATCTGTGTTTTGTCAGTTAAAGAGGAATTTTCCCTTTGTTGGGTTTTTTTCTTTTGGCTTCAAATGCTTAATTTCCCAAAACCCAAGGGCAGACTTACGTTTTTGACCTTTGTGAGGAAGGACGGTTTATTTCAGCACATTTGGGATTAGAGTTGTATAGGCTGATGGGGGCTTTCAAATGACGGATTTCACTTGTGATAACCCCTCGGGGACCATTACTCCCCCAATTCCCTCACCCTTTTCCCCCAAAACTTTTTTGTCAATTTTTTGACATTTTGGTAAAAACCCTTTTTTTTTGGGTTTTGAAATTGCTTGCAATTTTTTGTGAGGCTAAAAGAAAAGGGGGAAAGGTACTTTTTGGGGAACTTTTTCCGAGGGTGCGGTTACTGGGGGAATCTTTGGATTGACATTGATGGGAGGAGATTCAACATCCAGAATATTCCCTTTGGTGGTTTGGTCTCTCAGTTTTGATGCATCCATAGGGGCCAATACTTCAGTCTTTTGGCTTTTTTCTTGATTTATTTTTACCAAAAAAATATTAAATCCCCCCAATTAAAAATTTCTTTTTATTTCATAAATATTTTCCCCCAAAAAATTCCAAATTTAAAAAAAATAATCAGTCAATGACCTGGTGGGGAAAACACAAACACAGGGAAAGTATCACCCGAGGGGTCCCGAAATTTTTGCCCTAAAAACTGCTTCAAACTATCTCCACCTTAAAAAACACAAGTAAGGTTCAAATCACTAGATTGTAACATAATTCCAACTCCTCCGCCTCTGCATTTAGCGGAGTCTTTCCTGATGTAGTGAATCAAGTTATAGCCATAAGATTGATGGTTAGCAGTAACATCATCTTCATGCTGGTGAGCCAAGTCTCAGTGACAAAAGGACAGAGATTCTTTGGTCGATTATAGATTCCATGATTGGTTGAATCTTATTATGTGAGAGATACTCACATTCCCAGCAACCGCCAAGAATCTCTGTTGGAGAGGAATTTCAGACCACTGCTTACAAGGTTTTTTTGAACTGTAGTAATTGATAGTTTTTGCGGAGATGCTGCTGTTCAGAACATAAGCAGGGACATGTCCTATCAAATGCCGTGTGTGTGTCTCTTTCATCCCGATACTTGCCCTTAGAGCAGTTAATGCAACATGGGATAAGACTATTAGTTTTCTTTTTCTGGACAATCTTCTGACGTATGATTCTTGGAACAATAACCACACAATAGCTTTTTCTGATTCACACTCCGACCTGTAGGTCCAAAAACCTTGGCATTTGTTGCATCGTTTTATATGAAATTGATCATAAACTTTGCAACTAAACGAACTGATGTATAGCCCGATCTCCCTGTTGTCTATGATTTTCCTAATATTGTTACTAACTCGTATAGTAGCTTGATGCTTGCTGCTGTTTTGATCTGAGGTTTAACTTTTAGTACGGAAAAT